AATTCTTTATTTAAAATTTGTGAATACGTATATAATTTCAAAATACATATATCCAATATATATATATTATATATATTATATTGTATTATATATTATTATATATTAATATATGTATATTAAAAGTAATGAATTGTTAATAGTAAGTTTTATTATAGATTTTGTCATTCTAAGAGAAAGTTGAACAACTAGTAATCCTGTTGGATTCAGTTCTTACGATGTCTTTCGTTTGCCAGTTGTTTGTTTTGTCTGTCTTTTTAAATTCCCAAAGTACTTACGTAGTTGGCCATTACAGACGTGAGTCCGATCAGTTGTTTGCTGTCGCCAGTTGGTAGTACCGAGTGCCCCCAAATCGTTGATCACCTAGTTCTTTCATCGAAGATGCGGACGTCCTCTACTGCGTTTTCCACCTGCGGGTATCGAATCAAATACCTTTCTAGCCCGAGCACTTTCTTCCATTCGCATGACATGACCAAGCCAGCGAAGGAATAGGAATCCCAAAGTACTCCTGAATATATAATTATATGGACCAAAATAGTAGAAATATCATAACTTGAAAATAACAAAAATAAAACATCATATATATTTTTTGCAAAAGTAAAAAAAATACCAGAAACAGAAGTTATAAGATATGTGTATAAATGTTGATAATGTGAAGTTTTAAACCGCATAGACCTGTTGGCAAGTAATTAGTTAAACTGAAACTAACAAAACACCAAATCTGGGTGCAGTCATCACATAAAATGGAAGTGAACTGTTCATATCAGTATCAATCCTCATTGACTACCTTGATGAGAGTTGTCACATATGCGTCAATATCATTGTTGTTCAAAATTCATATTATAATCATATAAAGTAAAGTGAAATGAAGGCCAATTTAGATACCAATAATTAATTTAATGAATTATATCTATCTGTCCAATTCTGTACTAAAATTTAATGTAATTATATTTTTTTATGTCCGTCTTCGTTTACAAGGAAATCGTCTCCATTCGCGGTTTTCGTTACTGCGGCTCAAATACGATGGGTCTGTTGTTATGGCAGTCAAATTTTTTTAACTTGACATAAACTGGCTGTTTGCTTCAAAATTGTTTAGTGGTCCGAGTTTATTTGTTGCAAATTTCAAATCATAAATTCAACTCGGTCACTGTTAGCTAAAATACCATAATCGCTCAGTTACTTCCCATTCTGTAGTGTTTGCCTTTCTACTGCCTTGACTTTATGTTATTTAACGGAGACTCCAATTATATATTGAATGCTGGTAAAATTTAATTGTCAAAAATTAATAGGTTCATAAACAATTCATTGAACTGTTACAATTCATCAATACGTATTTCACTTGTTTAAGCACAATACATCAAACATTTAAGGTCAAATATTGTAGTCTTCTCTTTAAAAAAAATATTATAAACAATTTTAAATACCAAAAAGTGCACTTCAACATCACTTTTGATGCACTCGAAAAATGTTTATAATGTTTATCGCACAAGATGCGAAGCATATGGTTACTGATGTCAGACAAAAAGACTGACTGACGTTGGAGCAAAAGACTAGATGAAGCTAGAGCAATCACCAACCACGTAATTATAGTTAAACACTATTCGATGCGTCTTTATGCCTCACCAATGGAGGATGATTTGACTTTGAAGTACAACGGATTTGATGGCCTATAATATTGTGTTTTGTATATTTATTTGCATTTTTTGTACTTAATTATTGTATATGTTACGTTACTTCATTAAAGACTTACTTTTGTAAGTCTTGGCTGTGAAATGCGCGTAATTAATTTTAAAGGCTCTCATTGTTTTTTGTTACGGAGATAAATGAATTAATGCATTGCATACAAAATGGTTTGAAAATAAAATGTTTCTATTAAATTCGTAGCAATAACAAAACTGTAACGCCTTCGTACATGAAAAATTAACATATTTTAACAATTTGTCAATATTTTTATCTATTTTTTAAACGGTTTAACATTTGGTTAAGAACATACGCTACAATCGGCATAATTGACTTTATCACACATACGAGTACTAGAAGTGTATTTCACTTTTTGATTCTATTGTTTTTGCAAAGATAATGCCGCCGATCATGGGAATGTTCGCCGCGATCTTCCTTCTTCCGAATGATGAAATTTTCACATCAGTGATAACTAATACAGTCATCAATGCCAAATGGCTCCAGAGTGCTTTTCATAAGTCCAATAATTGTGAACTATATTTTTGTTTTGCATTATTTCGTGATAATTCAAAATTAGTGTTTAGGTAATGCAATAATAAATACCATATGTTATCTGATGTAAATCATGTATTTTAATTTCAGGATATATAAAACTTACTCTAACATTGTAAGTGCTATCGGCTTGATTACTTTCATCATTTCACTACATCTATCCATTAGAAGTAGATATCTTAGAGTTTTCTTCTTAAACATAACTTTATGTATTTCATTTAAGAAATTATAGTTTTAGTATTAAAAAATGTAAAACTTTCAGTTTAACTATAAACGTTAAATATTTGATCACTACACAAGCTATGTAATTACATTACATACATTATTTAAAATGTATGTATTTTACATTATGTAAAATAAATGATTTTTATTGTTAGATCCTATTTAGGTAAATTAAAGATTAATTATCAAAATTGAAGACCTGGTTACCCAAAAGCGAAGATATAGACTACAGGAAACTAATTTTGTTTGTTAAGAGCGTTCATTAATCGGAATAATTCTTTGAATGTAAAAACTTCTAATTAGAAATAGAGTCAGTTTATGTATTTTCACTAGAATACAAGTGAAAAATTAAATAAATCTTGTTTTAATTTCATAGCCAGCCAGATGCATTGATAAATCGAAATAAAATCTGTTAAGGCCTATTTCTATCTGATATCTTGTAAATAAAAGTGCTTCCCGTATGTTGATCCCATTCAAATAAAATATATTTTCATAGTTCTAGAAATATTTTCATTATATAAATTTTGTTATATTTATTAGATTACTCAAATTGATTAAAAATAATATTTTAAAATCAATCCAATTGCGATTTCATCGAACAGTTATTTTTAATGACATATACACTATTCTTCCTATTCTATATTTTCTTAACATCTAATGTGAAACAAAGTTCCGACAATTCCTTTAAATCGTCTTCTCTTCGGAGCCTAAATGGAAACACAATTTCATATAAAGTTTACTAATACAAGTCCATCGTCAGCTGTTCTTGTGTTAAATTAACTAAATGTAGGTATAACCTCTAAGTGAATCTTTGAAATTGTCGAAATTAAGATAATTTAAATGGACATTTTTTGTGAAATTATTCTTTCGTTTATAGTACTATTAGATAAGATTTCTTATTATTTGATTTTATGTTTTCCAATCATTCGTTTTCAATCAATCCAATCAATTCCAATAAATCGTTTTTCTTTTTGTTATTGGCTATTTTGATTGTTTATTTTAATGTAAGTTGAGCTTTGACTTCATGCATGAGTGAAGCAAGGGTGTTTAATATGTAATAAATATATGAAGCGTTTTTTTTTAAATTGTATTTCATTGGAACATAAAAACATCCACAAGATTAATGAATTTAGTAACTTATGTTAAGAATAGTAATTTACTCTACAGTGTTTTAAATGTTTTAAACATTTGAAACACTCTTTAAAATTAAAGAGTGACTTTAGTACAAATTTGATGTTATTAAGCGTTGTTTAAAAAAATAACCAAAGTGGGAAAAATAATCATATTGAACTATAAACAATTTTCTAAATCTTTAGAGTTTAAATGAACGGCTAAAACATGGAAAACCTATCTTACATACCATATTTCTTAATTACCTCAGAAAATATTGATTGTTACGTTAATACATTATTATGCACTACTGAGGAGTTTCTGCTTAATAGTAAATAATTGTGCAATGCATGTGATAATTATATGGAGTGAAGCTAAAAATAAAACTAATTGATTTTTAATGGAAGTTTTAAGGGGATCCATAGCTGCTATTTTACTGATATATGAATGGACTTCAAAGTAACTTTACTTGCATCTTAGTTGTTGCTATTTACACTACTAGTTCCTATTGTCAGTTATTCGGTGTTGGTTAAAAGAGATTTAACGGTTAAAAAATAAGTGAAATCATCCATTGTCCATGTCATCTAATTGCAAACTCTAGAAGTCCACTAAGCATTTGCAGATTTTTTGTTTAACTTAATGTCGTCGTGACCAAACAAAATACATAGAAATAGTTAAAAGTTTATATATTTAATTGTTTTAAGTTTAATTTTCACGTGATTCACTTCGGCTTTCACCTACGAAAATATATTTTTATAGTTTGCCATAAACGTGGGTAGGATGGATTATTGACAAATATGACGGCAAATTATTGCATAAGTCATTTTAGCTAAAACGTTTTCAGAATACCTATGATTTTGCTGGCAATAAAATCAGATACATATTATACAAAAATTAGCTACATAATAAAAGGAATGTAAATAAAAATATATAAAAAATCAAATTACAATCTTTAGTTATACATAGAGCAAATCTATTGAGATAGTCTAAAAAAATATATTTACAGTTCCTAAAATAAAATTGTGTTGTGTGTTTATATATCATGTGTGTGAACCAAGTGTATGAGACATTTGAAAATACATACAAGTATATTCATCCTCAGCCAACAATGAAAGTAAATATGCATAATATCTGATGTTAAGCTTGATGTTGTCTTTTATATCATAATTATAATAAATCCATTTCAAATATAATTATTGAATTTTATTTCCTTTACCGAAATGGTAGCTCTACTGCATTCCAAACTTTATGGGGAAAGTATAATTATCCCTTGCAATATTGATGTTTGCTATTACCAGATTTTTCGTAATATATTTTAATGACTTTACATTTTACCTATACACAATATAAAATACGTACTGCATTTTACGACCTATGCGGACAAAACTTTACAAAAAGCAAGCATTAAAAGTGTATTTTTCAAATTCAGCAGACACGGTTTCACTTTAAAATAAAATATGATTTTTAATCAAATAAAATGTCAAATCGTATTTCTCATAATACTCAATAATAACAGAGTGTCAGAAGTGTCATCTTCTCTTCGAGATATTTTCAATCCCGCAATTAGTTTACGAACAAACTCAGTCGACATTGCAATTATAGAAAACCTGCTACACACTATTAGTAGAGACACTCTCCATGTTCGTGTACAGTTTGAATATCTGAATTTTTACGAAGACGAGACATTTGAGAATCTGCAATTGATGTTGAGAAATTCTAATAAATTACCGTACTAAATTAACATACAGAATATAGACGCTAAGGATCATTCTATAATTGCTAATAATGATTATGCTCATCATCTTTGGTATGTGGACTCATATTTGGGATTTACGTAAGTTATTGTGACATCACAATTTTATGTATATAAAAAAAATTGGTTATATTTGTCGTCTGCCGAAAATGCATTATAATTGTTTCCTTTTTATAGAAATATAATAAGCATTTTTCGACACAATATCAAAAGATCCACTGGTACCTTCATCATTATCTATAGGAATACAACACAGCTAGACAACAAAGTAGAAGTCAAACAAATCCTACGAAAGGCCTATGAGCTGGGTATATTAAATTTTCTTGTTACATATGCAGAATCTAAAAACAAGGTGCTGACTTACGCATATAAGACATTTGGTAAGAACAGATGTAGACAATTTCAGCCAATTAACACGAACATCTATGAAAACGGCCGATTTCAAAAAAAAGAACTTTTCTTAAAGAGATACATTGACTTTTTCAATTGTGAAATTCGTGTTTATGTACGCAAAGTGGAGCCCTTTATTATCTATGAAGCCAGCAAACAAAACCGTTCTAACTTCGTTCTAAAAGGAGTAGAGGGTGAAATAATAAACACCATTTCCAAAGCTCTAAACTTTCGCATATCTGTGAATAACGAACCCGGGCTTTCTTGGGGAACAGTGCATTTAAACGGTAGCATGACCTTTCCATTTACTTTGTTAAGAGATGGAGAGGTTGATGTTCTTTTAGGTCTTTTCTTACATTCCGCTGAAACAAATACATTTTTTACCAGCAGTATTAACTACTTGCGTACGCCTTACGTATTTGTCGCAAGAAATAATTTAAAGTATGAACAGCAAACAGATGAGCAAACTTGGCTGTTAGAACCATATAGATGGAGTACATGGATTTGTTTAGCAGTTTATTTTTTGTTTGTGAAATTACTTATAGATATAACACGGCATAGAAAGCCCGAAAGCATAAAATCAGTTTTCGTAAATAAACAGAAACATTCCGGCTGGTTGGAATTGTTTGGCGTTGCACTTAGTATACCGCAAAATGTAACCAATACAAGAAATCGTTTCTGTTTTTCCATTGTTATTTGGTGCTTTGGATTCATTGTTTTCAATACAGCTTATCAAGGCAAACTATATGCGGCCTACACAGATGTTAAACCAGAAAAATCGTTAGTTTTGGATGATATTATTAAAAACCGTTACAATATTTTAATGCGGGGCTCTATAGAAATAACTACAGTAATGGCATTCCTAAAACTACCTACTGAAAATTTTATAAGCATTGATAGTAAGGACCCAAATGAAATATACGATCTGTTAATCAATCGTAAGGAAAAATTCGTTGTTATGCTTACTACGCTTCACAGATTTCTGTACTACGTACGAGCAAAACATATGTATGATGATTATCGGATGGTATCGCAGTATCTAAATATGCAACAAATATGTACATTTTTTCAAAAGAACTCATATTTGAAGACCCCTTTTAATCGAATCATACGTATTCTTACTGATGTGGGTTTGATAAATAAATGGATGAATGATGTAGCGGCTATAGGCTTAGATGTTTATAAACGAAATGCAATCCATGCAGCTGCACCCAAGCCACTGACCTTAGAAACATTCAAAATACTATTCGTTGTTCTTTTTCTAATTGAGCTGATGGCGTTTATTATTTTTATAGCAGAAATTTTTATTTATCGATGGAAATTAAAATCGAAATGAAAATCATCCATATGTGTATTTGCCTCTTTATTGTATATGCCATCCATGCCATCCATTGATTATACAATCCCTAACCTGATACGAATTAAGGGAAAGCAACAGTAATTAAATAGAAGATATACAAAAAATTACAGCCATAAAATGTTATGTAATCCTCAAAAAAAAATTTTTAGTAATTGTTACAACATATCTATGTCTTAATAAAATTTTTAAAGTCATGCAATATAAAAATTCTTTCATTTTTATATAGTGCGATTAATGCGTTATAAATATTTGCATACCTTCAAAACAATAGTTCTTGAACAATTAAGAACGATCATCAGATAATATCTACGTTATGTATTGACGTTATGTAACTTTTACTTTTTAAATGCTCAAATCAACTGAAACTTCCTTATATGTACACTTTTTTGGACATGAAAGTTACCTTCGATAACGTCATCCATCGCATAAGAAAAGCTATGATTAATAAAACTAGAGCATTGATGAACATAAATTTATAGGTTCCTAAATTTTAGGTTATAGCTTACCTTGAAACGTAATATTATCAGATCAATTTTGAATAATCGTAACTAATACGTTTCTAACGAAGCGCGCTGTAAAATATGTTAACGATATCGGGCAAAACGAATTGAAGAGGAATATCTTTTTAAAAGAATAAAAGGGACCAGAGTTGATTCGGAGATAATCGTTATTCGTTATTTTCAATCGTTGACAATAGTTTTGCGTCGACACTGTCATGAAGTTAAAATTGTTATACGATTTACCGGCTCAGCTATTTAAATGTGATAGCGAAGAGGTAAACGATAATTTACCAAAAATTGAGAGATGAATATGTCTACAACGGGTGTCGGTTCAAAATAAAAATAGTAAAAGGAATTTTGCAATAAAAAAACATGTAGATTGACAAGTTCTTCCAGTACAGATTAAAAAAAGGTGGAGGAATAAAGATGCTTGCTGTTAACAACTTCATGAATCTACAATACATAATTCACTTCTGATCATGTATATATCTAGAATGACGGATATTTTTCATTATAAAATATTTTTCACAATATCATATTTGTATCTAATAATTACATTTATCAGAAAATCAAATTATCGTACCAGATGGCATGCTTTAGAAAAATTTAAGTTGGAGTTTATATTTTTAAATAATTTTAATTTCTTTACAAATATTCTCTACAATAATTACATTTCAAGTTATGCTAAGTCATTGCTCTTACACTGAAACGTTTGTCACCAATTAGCAATAAATTTTAATGACTTCGCTATTTAATTATATGCATAAATTACGGAAAACTAATGAAAGGATTAAGGTTTAAAAGCACCTTTCTACAGATTATTAGGAACAGTTTGGCTTTGGAATTCAAAATGAGTTTTAATCAACTAAAATATTTGCTGTTTTTAATTCTACTGTGCCGAGTCGGAATGGTTGATGCAGCACTGCAGGATATTTTTAATAGTACCAACAGTTCAATAAAAAACACATTGGAGGAAGCAATAATGGATTACTTTCAGAACAGCGATGCTACAGATACTCTTCATATACGCATACAATTTGAATATCTAAATTTCTATCAAAGAGACAGGTTTGCGAATTTTCAACATATATTGGCGAATTCTTCAAAATTTTCTTATAAAATTAATATACAAAATGCGGACGGTAAGAACCATTTCAACATTGAGCAGTTTGATAATGCTCACCATCTGTGGTATGTGGACTCATACACGGCATTTGTGTAAGTATAGCAATAATAAAAAGAAAATATAATTACTAGGGACTCTGTCTCTAATTGTTTTCAAACTCAATCTCTAATTTTAGTTCTATCTAAAGAGAGATAATTAACATATATCACATATATAATCAATATAGGCTGGAATTGTTGAGATTTCAGTTACTTACCTACTGTCGATAAAAATTATTTGTCCACATAATAAAGGTCAACATTGATAATGTGGCATAATGATACGAGAAGTGGAACTATTCTGAAATGTTGAAATGAGTCTGTTGTCAAATATGTACATATGTGTTTCCTAAGACCGACTGCTCTTTCATGTCGCAATAAGGTTTTGTTTTGGTTCTTTGCATCACAGAAGCTATTTCATGGAGTCACTTTCTGCATTACTAATCTCTTAGAGTATAAACCTTATAACCTCACACTCCACCATTGGTCACGACTTGAGTCTTTTGTTGCAATATATGGAAGTTAATTGTAAGGCGTAGGGTCATTAATTGAGCTTATAGGATTATTTATAACAAATATATTTGTATTTTTTTTATAAAATAATAAAATTGTTTTCGTTTTAGGATTGCAATAAAGCAGTTACGACACCGTATTAAGGATTCAACTGGAATGTTCATTTTAATACATAAAAATGTAACAAAACTCGATAACGAAATGGAAGTCAAAAAAATACTAATGCATGCATACGATATTGGTATACTTAATTTTGTTGCTACTTATGCAGAATCAGTGAACAGGACTCTTACCTATTCTTTCAAACGGTTTTCGCCAAACAAATGTAGGCAGTTTCAACCTGTAATTACAAATATTTTTGAAAATGGTCGATTTAAGAACAAAGAACTCTTCGTGAAGCGGTACTCAAACTTTCACAATTGTGAAATTCGTGTTTATGTACGCAATGCACCACCTTTTATTGTCTATGAGCCCCGCACCCCAAACAGTTCCGAATACGTGCTAAAAGGAATTGAAGGAGAATTGATTAAAACCATTGCAAAAGCATTAAATTTTCGTATATCTGTGAGAAACGAATCCGAACTTTCTTGGGGAACTGTTTTTTTAAATGGTACAATGACATTTCCGTATGATATGTTAAGAGATGGCAAAGTTGATATACTTTTGGGTATTTTCTTTTCATCCACAGAAGTTTTACATTATTTTTCGGGTAGTTTATCTTACTTGCGAGCACCTTATGTTTTCGTTGCAAAACGTACTACAAAACAGAAAAATTTTGAAGTAACTTGGATATTGGATCCATATAAATGGTCGACATGGATATGTCTAGCAGCTTACCTTGTCATAGTGAAATTGCTGATGAAAATAACATTTACTGGGAAGTTTAGAAACTCTGCATTTTCGGTGCATAAAGCAAAACATTCTAACTGGTTGAGATTATTTGGAATAGCACTTAACGTACCACAAAATGTGGTGAATTCTAGAAATCCATTTTGTTTTTCTATTATAATTTGGTGCTTTGGTTTTATTGTTTTTAATTCAGCATACCAAGGAAAACTTTATTCATCGTATACAAACTTAAACCCAGAAAAAGAACTGTTTTTAAAGGACGTTTTAAAACACAATTATTTGATTTTAACGCGAGGACCTTCTGAAGTCGCCAAAATATTAACGTTTGTAAAGTTACTACCTAATCGTTTTGTAAATTATAATTTGACGGATCCCAATGCAATTTTCGATGTTTTATTAAATCGTACCGAGAAGTTTGTAGGCACACTTACCACACTTCACAGGTTTCTTTACCACATGCAAACCAAACGTCTTTTCGATAACTTTCGATTAGTTCAGGAACCACTAAGTGTGCAACAAATCTGTGCGTATTTTCATAATAATTCATTTTTAGTGGAACCATTTAATAATGTCATACGCATGCTAAATGATGCTGGCTTGATTTCCAAATGGATGAATGATGCATTCTATATGTTAAAGTACAAAAATATTGACATATTAAAGGGAAGACTAATTCGCAGTACTACCCCTGATCCACTTAAATTAGAACCATTAAAACCATTATTTATCGCGTTTATCCTGCTTGAGTTAATAACCGTTCTAGTGTTCATTGGAGAGGTCACGATTCATCGCTGGAAGATGCAACATAAAAAGTTTATATCCGTTAATTCACGTCGTAGAGCTCAATACTAGTGCAAATAGTGCAGATACAAGAACAAGTAGTTTAATAATGTAAAGATGCAATAATGTAAAGTTAATGAAATTCAAATAAAGAAGGCTACTGAAATTAAAAATTTATTATTACATACCTAAAATGGCAAGATTTTAAAGTACGAGAGAATATGATATATATAAAATTGATTATTAATAAAGTATATTTCAAATATTTTAAATCTGAACCTAACAACATTTTTAAATTGGTCACGCTGTTTCTTGTGAAAACCATTGTGCCACTTCAATATTAATAGTCTTCGGTGTTCTTTATAGATTGGTGAAGTCATGGCACCATATTTTTCAAAGATGCTACCAGTCGATTGGGATATGAATTATGTGACCGAAATTATTTTATGGATAATTACACCATTGTAACTATCAGCTAGATTTTCAAAAATCGGGGGGAGCTTTTTAAATGTTAATTCAACACATTCTTCATTGTGTAAAATAGACCAGCCTGTAGACATAATACACTTAATTGGGGTATATCTAATTCTGAAAGAACTGTGCTACAAATTCTACAGGAAATACACTCATAGAGAAAACTTAGTCGCACTCTCTGACTTTGTAAAAGATGTAATAATAACAGAAAAAGAATAATAGATGAAAATTTTTACATTTAAATAAAATACTCGTAGAATAAGAAGCGAGCAATGAAGTGTAGTTAATTAGTTTGTTGGCAGGCGGCATTTTAGCCATGCATTTTATTCAATAATCAATAATGTTTTATAATGTAAATATTTTGTAATTTATTTATTTATATTATAAATTATCGTATAAGATTAGCTTTAAGATTGAAATATTATATTGTTTTTGCACTAAAAAAAATACTATACTACATACTATACTACTACATACGAAACTGAGCCCGTTTTAAAGATGTCTCCAAACGTGACATCGGTAGAAAAACAATTTTGCAACATAAATATCAAACCCGCTGCCAAATTGTCCTAGTAATGCTGTCTCCCTCGCCAAAGAATGCGATAAGATTCCTACACTAAACCCGGTCAATTCCCCCATAGCTTTTCTGATCGGTAACATCCATAACATGGTGGATGAACATTTTACGAATTAAAGTTTTATCTAATCCTTCATGCCCCAATAATAAGGATTCAATGGGATCCTCTTTCTGATCCCAAGCATTGTGTCTAGCAATTTGCCGTCTTTTCGTGTCAAATACTTCTGCTTCCTCTTACATCGCAGACAGAAACAAGCTTTTAGGAAGCCATTTGATATCCCATTATTCTCCTCTGTTGATGTGAACAATGTGATCACATAAGTGAAGGCTTCGAAAGCCCTGGGATATGGTGACGTCTCAATGCTCAGGCTTAAATACGTCTGGGCCATTGGCCTTTAGTTCTGACACACATTCTCAATTCTTCCATCAGTTCACACATCATTCCTAACATATGGAAGATTGACAGAATAATCCTTTTGCAATTAAGCCAACATCAGCGACATCAATGAAAATAAACGTGGACTAATAGCCCTCCAGACAGTTACAGTATCCTCTGCAAGACCACAGTTGTACTACAACAAAGTTCTCAATAGGTTCCCGCCTAACATTTCCCAAAAAGTACGACGATTTTTCCGTGGATTGAAAACTATCCTAGATTAATTGAGATCAGGGTGTAATCATGTGTTAAACAGTTACTTGTTACGCATAAATATGTCATTTAATGTGTGCCCAAACTCCAGCTCCACCTCCATGATGTCGGCCATCTGTTCTCCTGTGCCAACTCACATACAATCCTTGGACTAATCAATCTTTGAATCTCTCTAATAGAAGTGGAAAAATTTTTTTAACCTTGATCCTGGTTGAGTTCAATTTATATCCCGCCCATCCTCCAATCTACTACTCCCTAACAATCTCCTCCCCTCTTAAAACCTTTACCCATCCACACCCTAACCCATGTATTCGTTATGTAATTCCATTCAGTATATATGCACCTATGACTACTGTACAGGACACCTTAATATTGTGCCATAACATAAACATATACCTTCCTTTTATGGTTTCGTTTTTTAGTGATAGAATTCTACACCATCGGCAACAAAACTATAATTTTTTCTGTAAAAAATTCTTTATGACTACCAATTCAAGATCACTTATTCCGTATCATGAATATAACGATACCTATTGAAATGGAAACATCAGTGAAGACAAGTATAGATGAGAGAAAACCACTTTCCTAACTGACGCTTTCACTGTGCAGCGAGAAATGGAAACATCCCTCAGTCCTCGGCAATACGAGGTTCTAAATAGGTCCGAAGGTAGAACAAAAATCATACTCAAAATAGATATGCAGAATGCGTAAAGCTTGTATGAAGCAGGAAAATTTCAAACACGGTGAAAGAAACGAAGAAGATATATTGGATAAAGTACAATACAACACATTGATAGATATACTCAAAATGTAGATACTGATAAAAAATATATATACGGTGATTCGGAATGTATCTAAAATTTGTATTGGAACTAAATAGATGAAATGCGAGTCATGAGTGTCCATATGGCTAAAAATAAAATGTTGTAGTTAAATTTTTTTCCCAATAAAAAATTCATTTTTTATTTTAAATTTGTATAACATCTAATTATATGTAAAAACTTTCACATTCATAAAAAATAAATAAATAATTTTGATTGCCAACATCACGTAACGGGTAGGTAGAAAGAAAAGAAGAATTGGAATTCAAAGATATTATATGATATTAGTAGCTCATCTCTACTTTTTATTTAAGTATATAATATGTAATAATGTTTACAAATATTTTATGTGGTAATTTATTGATAATTTTATGACAATTAAGAATTTTTTATGAATAATATTATTATAATATATAATAATTAATTTCAGATAATAAGTAACAACTTTTTATTTGTTAAATGGCATACAAATTTATATATTATATTCAATAAGCGAAATTAAACGCTTCATTTTCCTTAATAATTATATAATGGAAATTAAGTTGTGTTAATTGTGTATAATATACTTAAGTTTTTGAGTCTTTTATTTGGGCATTTTAATAACAGAAGAAATAATATATATGTATAAAAAATTAATACTATTTATATATATATAAATTATTGTTACATATATATATGTATATATAAAAAATATATATACATAACTTAATTTTATACATATATAAAAATTAATATTATATATACATAAATTAATGTTATGTATATACAATTGATATATTACCCTTTTAAGCTATTTATTTTAATTATAATAAAAAATTTAAGTAATTTAAAGATCTTCAAAAAGAATATTAATGGAAAGAAACGAGATCGTGTTTCGTCGTTGTACCTGTTCAATTCATATATCCCCGACAGTTATTTTTATTAAAATATCTTTTTCAAAAAGCTAGAATTTTAATAAAGGATTGAAACTCATAATTCAATAATATAATTCATATTTCTTAATTTTTAAATGTTTCATAATACTAGTATAGAATTTAATATGTATACTATTTTATACTTTGTTATTATTCAAAAAAGAAATTAATTTATTTTGACAAATGGTTTTCCAGAAAAAAAAAATTAGGGCACAACTCAAAGAAGGCTTTTCAATGTCAGTATCAAAAGTACGAAGATGTACCACAATTAAATATTATTGTGTAGAATGCTAATTTGAAAAAAAATTAAACCACCTACAATCATATAATTGAAACAATAAAATCTCGAATTTTAAACAATCAAACAAATCGAAATGCATGATTTAAAAAAAAGCAAATTCTTTTGATATACATATATTCAAACTATATCACGTTTTAGAAATTAATACTTATTTTCAGTTACATGATATATATATTTCCAATATATAGAAACAATCAGTCCATTTTATACTTAAAAGGTATATGTTTGTATATTTTTAGGTTTGACGACTACCAACTTAAAAGTTACTTCGTTTAAACTTAATTTTGTATATTTCTATTTAAAATAAAAATAACTCCAATTATAAAATTCAATATTAATTAATACTTAATACTGTAAGAATAATTCATAATAAATTAACAATTATTTAATAACTATGATTAAAAGAATGTGTTTTTAACATTTTTGTTTTTGGTTTTTTAAACTAAGTTTTACGGATAATTTTTTAATGTTTGACTACTTAAATTTACTTTTTTTTGGCCGCTTTTTTCTCTGCTTTTTTTATCGCTTTTTCTCTTTCTCGACGTTCGCGCTCCTGATCTCTACGTTCCTTTTCAATACTAGATTTTAGGTCTTTCAGACGTCGCTTTAACCGCTGCTTATCTTCACCGCTTATTCCAAGCGTCTTGAAATCTTTTGAATCAAGTGTAAGTAACGCGCCACCTTCAACATTGTGATCTTTGAAAACTGGAATGTAACGTTCTAATTCTATTCCCAAAAGCCAATGCCCAACCTTCAAAGAAAATATGTATAATTATATTATATGAATTATATATTAATATTTGAAAGAAATAAAAATTCTAATGGAATTACTGCTTAATATGTATGATAAAAAAAATTTTCGAATATGAGTAGTATATGATTAGTATAACAACAATTATACTAATCAAATTTTAATATATTTTTGTATACATAACACTAGTACTATAGTAACTCCTACACGTTTAAATGATCCTTTCTGAACATAATCTGATAGTTTTAATTATAATTAAGAATTAGTTGTGTAGGAATCATAAATTTTTAGTTACTGAAAGAGTGTGAATTTTTATTTTAAATGAACAAACAACCAAAATGAAAGAAACTGATCGTTTTGGTAAAACATTGTTTAAAACTAGATGTGTACCCATGCTAAAAAACTTTTGTTGGTTTTTATTTTTTATTTTACATCGTTATTATCTATATAAATATCGCTGAAGTATTACTACAATTGATTACGAAATTAAAAACCTAAAAATTTACTTTTGAAAATTTTTAAATAATACTATATGATAATTTTTTTTATATTTAGAACTATATTATTAAAAAGATACTAAAAGGAGCATGATCAACATTGCCTATACCCGCAACGTTTCAACTTTAATTTTGTTTCATTTGAAAAGGCAGCACTGCTGCACATGCAAAGACCACTAATGGTCATTTAGACACATAATGATAATTTATCACTCATGCTTGGCAATGATAAAAGTCTCGTGTAATAATTGCAAGTACCTAAGTACATAGTTAAAATTAACCAACAGTTTGAGCCAAAACTAAATTCAATACTTTAATTAAAAATCATATTACCTGATCCTTCGTCCACTCATGTACAGGACCACCTTTATAATTATAACCTGCAGAGGCTTTTCGATCTGAGAAACTATTGCTTGAACCGGACAAGTTTAAAACTCGACTGGGTGAATATCCGGGAGAAGAACAGCCAGAAGACATGCTGGTTGGAGACGGTGGTCCTGTTGTTTGTTGTTGCTGTTGCTGCCATGGTACTGTGCCAGGTGGTGAAAGAGATTGAGGAATAACTTTTTTAACTGCTTAACAAAAAAATTTTAATTATATATTACGAGCAGTTGAAGACATATATATGAAGACACACGAAGATGAATAAAAAAAAACAAATATATTATATTATAATTTTAATATGAATAATGTCTTTATTATTAGTTTAGTTGTTTATCACTGTTACCTTTAGGTTGCGCTTCGTTTACTGCTTGTCGAATTTCGTTAATTAAAGTTTTACAGTTTATAGCCGCTGTGCTTTGATTTTTATTGACTTCAGTGTAATCATCACTTGAGTGTCGTGATGAACCATCTCCAAGTCTTCTATTTAAAATTACATTATAAAAAGTTAAACGTTTTTCTTTAAGTTTTATTAACGCAAAGTTTATTACCTTTCTCGTTCTGGTAAGGATTGTGAAAGATGATCTGATAATGAAATTGTCTGTATTTTTCCAGAAGATGAGATAGCAGTTGAAGTTACTCTTTTTCTGCTAGGATACATCCAATTTTCAGACTGCTCAGTTTCGGAAAGTTTATCGTTTGATCCCAAAATAGAATCGTATGAGTTATTGAGTTCTCGATTACCAGTTCCGAATGTTATCATATTTCCTCGATAAAAATCATTAACATTACCGGATATTTCAACTGGAGAACCAATTGCTGTTTTAAATATATTTGGTATTGTTGAATGTGTACTTAAATTCTTATGATCTTTCTGCACTTGCGCATACAGTTGATTTATTTGTAATTCTCGAGATGATACTGATACTGCTACTGAATTAGAGGCTGAGGAAGGCGAAATGCAATTGAGTAATATAGCAGTAGTTGTGCCTGTGGTGTGATTTAATTGATTAGAATTTCCACTTAAGTTATTGACAGTTTGTTGCTGTTGAATACTTTCATGCGACAATGGCTCTTCAGATTCTAGAGATTCATATTCAGAAGTAACATTATTTTGAACTTTATTCAAATCTTCTCCTATAGCTTCATTGTGGTGTTCTTTGTTTGGAAAGTTCAAACTGATTGACGATGTGGGCAACTGCCGGTTAGCTAAGCCGCTCCTGGAAGCTATGATAGCAAAAACAATTACAGTTATGTTGTATTATTATTTTAATTATTTTAAAAGAAAAAATAAATACATTTTTTGAAGAACCTTATAGAATATAAAAAATATGTTAAACACTAATTTTATTTGTTATTATTTATTTCAAACAAAAATTATAGTTTTTTTATTTATAACAGATAATTCAGTCTACCTTAGCCCATATTTAGTGTTATTGATAATAATCTTCAGTATTAATGACCACATTGTAGACGATCTACTAAGAATTTATTCGAAATATACAATTTTATAATGTATTGAAATATTTACGATATTTAAGTGATATTTTCTTCATATGTTATATTAGCTGTGTTTCAGCAAACATGATCCGCTCAATTTTACATGCAAAACAAAAACAATGGGGTGAACCAGCAATTGATCTGGTTCACTTTCTGGTTCAATGTGGAATGTATGTAAAAGATAAAAGTGGAACGTATTTTAATGCAAATAAGGTTGGCAATGCGATGCACGGTGCAGTAAAATTTTAAACAAATCTACATTTATATTTATTTACTATTGATTTTATTTATTTATTATTCATTTTATGTACTTATTTAATTAATATGTCATTATTATTTATTTCTTTGTTTAAAGTAACGTTCTAATTATCAATGTAATTAAAATTATTACTTTAATAATTTACGTTTTATTATTATTGAAAAAGTGTTGTTTGATAATTTATTAATATCAATTAATTTGAAATGAATATATAAAAATTAAGGTGAATACATTTATTTAATTAAAACAGAACAATACATAAGAAACCAGGCTCTCCAACATATACGTTTATAAAAAAATCATTTTCATCGCAAACTGCCTGCAACATTAAGCCATAGTCATGCTTTCTTTTGAAATAAGCCTATTTGCTATGGTTTGGTGCATTTATTTTTAGATGTGTACTGTCTATACAACCAATTACGAACGGGAATTTTTTCGAAGCTTCCATTTTTGCATTATTACCAAGTGCGTATTTTAAATTAGTGTCCAATTGATATAAGCTAAACACTAGTTTTTTTAATTATTCTCCACACAGAAGCTCTTGGTATGCCAAAACAAATACCAAATTTGCAAAAAGTATTCATATTTGCCATATACCACAAAAATATATAAAATTACTTCATTGCTCTCGTCCAAATGTGATCATCACGGTTATTTTGCATTTGCTGATTGGAATTTATTAACAAATCTATTAAAATATGAAACATAATTAATATATAGCAATTGTATTTTTTATGCGCAAATATCAATCAAATAATCTTTAACGAAAAAATTATTGATCGTTTCCACAAAACTTCCACTATATCTATGCTGATACACTTCATCCCTTGAGCTTAATACCATACACTTGAACTAGTAAAAAGGGAATGGAAGAGTCAGTTTCGCTCGATGATTCTAATAACATATGCAATTTTCATTTATTAACTATAGAATTAAATTTAAGTTTTTAAGTAAATACTTCAGACATTTCAACAGATTTTATTTATTTTCTATTTTTTAGATTTTTTGTATTCAAAATTTTCTCACTTATTTTTTTAGCGCCAAAATTATTCACACAAATCAAAAAATTTTGTACACAAACCCAACTGTCATATTTCATGCGTTGCCAATTATTTTCAAACGTGATCCGTATCGTTTCAGCAAAGATGATTCAGATCATTGAGCGGATCATGTTTGCTGAAACACAGCTATTGTAATTAAAGATATATTAAAAGATCTCTAAACATAAGTAATATTAGGCGGCTATGTTTTTAAGCCCGAAAAATTGTATATTTTATGAAACAATAATAAAATTGCTGAGAAAAGAATTTATGTGTATGAAAATTGAATCCTGGCTTTTTGTCAGAAATGTACTTATGTAACATTTGCAAATGGTTACATATCATTTATAGATCATTTAGATCTACAGCATTTGTTAGTTTGACACTCTGATTTATCACCAAATGAGTTGTCAGCGTAATGTCAGACAGATTGTGAAGTAGTCAAAGGTACTACACTACAAATTTTGATAGATTGTTTACCAAGTATTGATTTTCTATTTTACTATGTTATAAATATTATACAGTATTTAAGTTAATAAAATGAAAGTGCTGTGTGACTCACCTAAATCTTTCTTAGTTTTTGTAACTGAATTGTCCAATAGCTCATGGGGTGGCACAGCGGCATCCAATTCGTCTTTGATTGGAATTTTTCTTTCCACCGTAGCCGTTTTTACGCCTTCGCCATCTGGCGATAAGTCAGAAATTTCAGTATCTGAGAGTTCAGTGTCTAACTTTTGAAAAAGTGGTTTTGGCGGTGCCTTTCTAATCATTTGTGGTGTTAATTTCAGTGTGGTACTATCATATGGCAAACTAATAGGAAAACCAGCTTTTTTTTGCGTTTCTTGTAATTCGTGTTCCAAGTTAATAACGCGATCTTTAAGCTTCTTGACCAACGCATTGTATTCAGTATCTTTTTCTTGTAAAAGCTGCTGGTAGAATTCTTCTCGATGACACATATCAATTTCACGTTGCTGATATTCCCGTACAAGTTTTTTCGTTTTATTATATTTTTTATCTAAAGTCATGTATTGAGTCTGCGATTGCTGTAACATGTTCTGTAGATTCAAAGCCTCTTTTTTAATATTAGTTAATTCCCTTTCACACTGGCGTAGTCGTTCATTCAATAATTCATTCTCGTTGCCAGTTGTTTCCAGTTTCACCAACTAATTTAAATCCAAGAGATTTCAAAACCATTATTACATTTTAAATTAGTTTTTCCTTGTTGAAATAAAAAAAATATGAATTTTGATGTAAACAAACCTTCATTTTTAGTTTTTCTATAAAATCGTCTTTTAAAATGCAATTTACTTCATTCTAAAAAATAAAAATAATAAAAATAAAAATTATAAAAATAAATTGAAATAAATAAAATAATAAATATATATATAAAGAATAAAATTAAAATAAATAAATAAAAATAGATCAAAATAACTTTTAATAAACATGAACGTTAAATAAGTATGTTTACATTATAAGCTCTGATTTATTTTTAAAATAGTATTATTTTCAAGTTTTGAAAATCTAATATACACATTCAAAACTTTTTTATATTTCATATAAGAAAAAAAAGATTATTATAATAATATGTATATTAAAATTACCGCTTTATGCTGTAGAATATATTGTAAAAAATGTTTGTCAGTGCAGGCATTTAAAACAAATTTGTTAAATATGATATTCCCAATATAATTTATTTATAATATAACATGTTTACCTCTTGTAATAATCTTTTAAGTGACTCAACTTCCTGTGAGTGAGTAGCTTCAACTTCCATTGTGATTGGGTTATCTATTTGAACAGGGCTTGTTGGGCCATCGCATACGCTTGAATTAGCTGATATTGGCTGTGTAGACTCTTCAGAATAATCAAGAGTGCGACGTAAATATTCATCCTGTTGTCTATCATTAATTTAAAAACTTATTGAAATCCAATTTTTAATTTAATTTTGATTTAAATTAACTAACCTTTTTAATCTTTCCTCCTTTTCACGATCTGCTTGTAAACTCAACCTTATTAATTGTGCTACCTCTGAGTTTTCTGGATCTTTTTCCCGTCCAATTTGAAACTTGACTAGTCCTGAAGTGTTACGCAATACAGATGCAGCATAGGCTTGAGTTACTCCCACTAAACTTTTACCATCGACTTCAATTATTTGGTCATTCACCTATTTTAAAACAAGTAAAAAATAAACTTTATCTCCAATAATGTTTAACTACAGTTTTCAGAATAAAATTATTTGTGATATTTGTTAAAGTAGCACAAAAGATCTACCCGGACTTCAAAGTCGCTACTTAATTCCAGATCTATTTCATTCAAATGCTGTTGACAAATCTTGCTTTTCAAATCTTGCTGTTTTAGTAATAAGTTTTAACGTGTAGTTAAAAATTTTTAATTTATTCATACTATAAAATGAAAACTTTAACCATTCTGTTATCCAACACATGTCAATGAAAAACTGCTTCCAATTAACCACAAAATAGATAATATCTAGAGACAATAGTGTTTATACTATTCTTCATTACAATATACATTAATATGGATATATAGACTATGGTACTTAAAACCAAGCTCTTTTTTCTCTCTTACAATTAGTATTTTAAAAATTAGTATTAACAACCATCAAAACAAAATTTACTTTATAATAACTAAATGAAGACGTACATTATTCATAATTTTCATATTGTTATTATTATTATATTCCTAAATAAAACTCTTTTAAAATTACAACTTACCTGAATGCGTCCATCACGTGCTGCTGCTCCATTATCAGTAATAGTTTTTACAAATATTCCTAATTTTTCGAGTCCGGCATCAGCTCCAACTCCCATTCCAATTATACTGAGACCTAAACCCTCTGGTCCTTTCATTAATTCAACGGGAAATACATGCATTTTTTCGACACGCTTTTCCAATTCATATTCTGCTGAAGCAGCAACAGGATCGACATCCTCATTTCGACGATCATAATCAGTAACAGAAAATGTTGAAAACACTTGTATCGGTCCAGAACTAAAACGTACTTTAGTATTTCTTTTCACGCATATGGAGGGATATAAAAGATCATCGTTATCGAAGTCCAACAAACCTATATTATTAAACAAATATACAAATCAGTGTTCATATGATATATAAACTCATTAACTACCTGGTACTTCCATCCAAAAATTCCCATCTTCAAAATAATGTACGCCAGATTCTACATAAACTTCTTTGCTTCGCACTGGAGGATATTCTGGTATGTAATACTGTGAATCTTCTAAGTCAGCAGTAGTATACGAATTATTGAAATTAATAGAATCTTTTTCACCTTCAATCAAAGAATACGTAGAATTATGTTTACTTGATATAATACTATCATCAATTGTTGTAGTCTGATTAAGTGTTATATCCGATTGAGTTGAATCAATTGATGCAATCGATTCATGTAATGAATCCTGTATTGTAGTTTGATTAAAAAAATCTTGTGGACTTGCAACAGATTTTTCATTTGATTGTACTGATTTTATATCATTCATTATTTGATCGCGTTTCTCAAATTTTTTTAGTTTATTTATTTCACTTATAATTTCCTCTTTAATATTTTCATCATTTTCACCTTTTTCTCTAACATCGTCACTCATTTTATTCGTTTGAACAATTTGTAAGTTCTCAAAACTTCGGTTTGGAGCATCTAGCACATCACGTAACCATTCAGGTTCCTCATCTTCATCGTCTATTTTATCATAACTTAATGCATTTTTTAAATTCATTTGGGTGGTTCCTAAACCATTTATATCATCAAGTTCATTTTCTTTAACTGTGTCAATATCTTTTCCATTATCTATATTATATAATTCTTTATCATATTTTTCTACGTCTAGAGCTGAACTTAATAAATCGGTCGTATCGTCATTAATACTCGTTGACACAGTAGATGGAATAACAACTGTAGCCACTTCTGCTCCCACTGAAGGGACAACAGATAATATCTGTTCAACTTCTTTAGCTTGCTCATCTGAGAGCAAAGGCTGTTGTCTGTAAGCGAAAAAGAAAAACAAAATAAAAATAATAAGGTCACATACTTTATAGGTACTGAGTCATATATATAAGCGTATATATAAATATATACATATATAAGTGCGTAATTGAGAAAATGTACCTTGCTTATGTACAATACTTGCTTAAAAATTTAAATAAAATAATAGAAAGTACAATAAAAGGTATAGAAATAACAATAAAATTTTGTTGAAATAAATTTATTAAATTGTGTTAAATATATTTTAGTCCAAAAATAAAGTTTTAATATTGTTAGATGTGTATAGAATTCTGAATATATAGAATGGTGCCGTTTATAGTATATAATCTGAATTATTTGATAAATGAGTTTTTCGTCGAATTTTCGTCAAGCCCAATTCAAATTTTACATATTTAGATATTTCAAACTATTGAATTCTTTTAGCATTCAAGATATGTAATTTAATACATATATCCCAATAGATATTCGGCCTGGTAAAACATTTTAAATGAAATAGTTTTATTGTATTCTGTTTAAAAAGTATCCGGAATTTATAATATAGAAAACGCACATAAAATATAGCGCTACAATTATTTTGTTATACGTTGCTACAAAATATGTTTACAATAGCCGTTTTCTCAAGTTTCAAGTGTTATGCAACTGCATAAAACTATGGTTGAGCTGTTATTGAGCTGAAGTGAAAATATCACTTCGAAGAAGAGATATCGAGTCGATTATGGTCATTAAAGAAAATTGGCTAAAGGTGTTCTGAGAGAATGAGATCAACCGGTGACATATTTCTATTGCATTCGCGATGAGCTTACTTTAAAGTCAACAAAATATATTTAAGTTGAATTATAATTTCTTGGTGTTTAATTTAATAATTCCGCATACTTTTTGCACAGATTGTATATACATCATAATCTAGTAATAAAGTATAAGTATAAGTATAGTTCTATAATATAGAACTATATTACGATATTTATTTATATGTATAAAAACGTATATTCCCAAATAATAACTTTAAACCAGTATTACATAAAGTTATATATACAATAAGTATTTTTTTTCTAATCTTAACTTTCAACTTTCTCTATTCCCACAATTTATTTATTTTAAAAGGTTTATTTTTTGCTATATATTAAAATAATACGTACCTTATTTTACTTTCCAAAATTCTAAATACTCAAGCATACAACAATGCAAAAATAAATGAAGCATATTTAAATAGCGTTTATAATGATTGAAGGCATACAAATCGAGGAATATTCAATGGAGCATATGAAGCGAGATGGGTGCAGTTTATCGTACGACCACGGCAAACAAAATCGACATATCAAAACAAAAATAATAATAAAAATAAATATAAACATAAATATAAATATATTGTATGTAATCATAAAAAAATCATAAGAATATTTAACATTGTACTTAAAAATCATTTAATGATAAAACAGATTTTTATAAATTTTTCTTATTAATATTTTTTTTCAAAAAACAACGGCTTAAGAAAAATTAAATAAAGAGACAATGGTGTATAACTTATTTAAATAATTAATACAAAGTTTTTTCCTAACAAAGTTCCTTAAATATATGAGGTGATTCCTAGGTCCAAAAAACGGGAATAGAATGTGTCAAAACAATCAATTTACAATATAACCATCATAATTTTCGAACTTATTTAAATTCAAAGACATATTAGATATCTAATTAAATAATATTTAAATAATAGAAAAAACAATTAATTATGTAGATATTTGAATAATCCGTTTATGCAATGAGCGGGTAAAAAAAAATTTGGATAATGATAATCTTTAATAATGATATACGAAAACTATAGTACTCTATAGAAAAAATAGAACTCTCGATGGCAAACCTGGATATGACGACATAGATCCAAATTTGCGTGTGTAGTGGAATTGGAAAGAAATCAACGATTATACGCTACTATCTCCCAGCCAGACAATTAGTTCCAATATCTACTATTATCAATTAAAGTGGAGAATTGTAAAAATGAAGAATTCAAAAAGGATTAATGGGCTGTGAAGTTTTAAGTCACTCACTATTTTATCATTATTTGTTTTGAGTGCTGCAATAATCTCTTGCTGGTGTAAAATTGATCATAAGAGAGAGGACTGTAAAAAATATCATCAAAATATTAGCTTCGAAATATTGCAAAGAATTTTATATTTCAGAAGCAGCGAATTCTATTTTTCTGAACCCATCAGATTCCATAATGGCCAAGTCTACGACTCGGAGCTATTCATTATTCAAATGTCATAGTATGGGTCAAACTTCTTTGAAGAAACCCAGAAAAAAGTAATGTTTCTAAAACACTTATAACAGCAATTACGACCATGAACCACTCGTCTACGACCACCAAGTATGCTTTACCATTTTCATAAGAACTTTATTATGTGTAAGAACGGTCAAACAACATAGATCACAACATAAATAACTATATAAATATTTACTTTAAACACAATATATTATATTTTTTATATATCTATTATATAAACTAAATATGCGTTTACCTTGAACTTAGCAAGCGTTCGGCCTCATCGGCTGTCATTGCATCTGGCAGAGTATCGTCGCGAATAATATTTTCAGCAGCTGGCTTTGTAATCCTTGGTGATGTCCGAATACTTTTATGAGTTGGTGTAGTTGATAAATTGTCCAAATCAAACTTCTTTACATTTTCAATGTGTTCTGTAGTACAAATATCTGTAGATTCCGTAGATAGCAAACCTTGTTTTTCTATATCAAACTCATTAATTTGAGGAAAATTAGACGTTATCTCCTTTAAAACATCTGCTTGAAATGAATCGATGGTTTTTATATCATTGGTAGATGGTAAAATCGATTGATTATTCTCTTTAGATGACAACAAATTAAACGTTTCGCAATCATCAGTGGATGAGACATCATTAACTAAATGCAAATTTTCTGTTGTGGACGATGATGATATACTGGCGCTATTATTCGTTTCATTTATTTTTGTTGAGCTTGATAAAGGAACTTTACCTTTATCGATTATTGAGCCATAATAGAGTTCATTAAGAGGCGGGATTTCCGGTTTAATAGTTGCATACACTGTAGAAGTTTCTTGGGCAAAACCATTTGCTTTAAATTTCTTTTGCAATTCCGAAGCACTTGATACATTATGAAACTGACTTTCACCAAATGCGTCATTTGACTCACTTCCATCTGGATTATGTCTAAAGCCAACATCAACATAATTTAGTGTATGCTCCTCAGAAATTACATCTGTATAAACCGTTTTATTATTTTCACATGTCGCTGCTTTGTTATTACTGGCTAATGAAGATTTAATATTGGAAGAACGAGAACATATCTCAGGGGTTTGTATGATATTTGATGATGTATTAGTCACAGGCGCTGGCAAGTGTTTTAATGGCGAGATAGAGTTTGTGGCATCTAATTGTTGATCCTGGCAGTCTGATTTATTGGAATAACCTAAAAATTTTAAATATATTTTTCATTACATAAATACATATTTTTATGAAAACATAAGTCCTTTTTATATAAAATTTATTATATATAACATCACCAAATCTTATTTGAATAGTCAAATTATTATGCCAAATTTTATAAATTAATAGGAATAATAGAAACATATATGTATGAATGAATATTATCTTATATGAAACAACAGATCAAACTATATATTATATATATTTCGTAGAAAAATTATAGAATACATATATTATGAGTTGCAAACCATCAACAAAATTTTTATTTATATACATTTATGTATAAAGAAATTTAATCTAAAAATATATATAAAAAGCAATCCAATTATTATACAAACCTCTACAAACTTTGCAAAATTTTCTTATACTCAGGAACATATTACTGTGTGTCTTTAGCTTTGTAATTTATTATATTTATTTAAAATAAGCAATATTATTACTAGAATGTTACAGAGTATCTATATACTTATATAATAAAGAAGATATTTCTTACATTTAAATATACAATTTTTTTTATTTAACATAATGATACGCAAAAACTATCTGAATAATGTTGACAGGCTAAGTGGTCATCAGAAAAAATAAAGTACTAAAAACAACAAAATTATTAAAATTATCAATTATCTACAATTATCAAAAATGTAGAAAACAAGAAGTGGAAAAAGTGGCAACTATACGGACACCATTACAGGAACGTAAAACGGTCAATTCCGAATGGTATACAACCATTTCTTTTTCGGAAGATATGGATCATTCACCATCAAGATCCGACGTATAGTCCTAAAATATAATCAGGGAAAGGATAGTTAACTTTTTTATATTTTTAATATCGTTTAATCTGTTTGTAGTATACAATTACATACTCAACGCAAAATACAATTAAACTTAATAATAATCCAATGGACCACAAATAAAAAGATCCTTGCAAAATGTCTAAACTCAAAACGACTTTTGCTGGGATATAATCATCATCAATGTCTGATATACTTGAAAACTCAAACGGAAATCCCCTGTTATCGGTATAATAGTTACGACTGTATTGTCGGTGATAGGTGTCACGTTGGAGCCAATGATGTAATAAGCCGTATTCAAAAAATGCATCCAATAATTGTTGAAATTTATGATAATATGGAGATCCTAGACTAACGACATATGTACGCTGCATCGATCTTAAATACTGTTTAACAATATGAAATGATGGGCGTTTCTCTTCAAAATTAAACGTATTAACTAAAAGATCATTCGCAATTTCTTTGCGTAAAATAAATGCAACATTTTTCTTTGTTTTTCCAACAATTGGTAAAGTATAAGAATAGTAAGTAAAGTTTAATGGCAATTCAATCGATCTAGCTTTAATTTGTTCCCAGTGTTTCCTTTCTAAGCCATCTTTGACTGCATCTAAAAGGTTATTAACAGCATATATTGGAACCTTTAATTTATATAAATCATCAAGGTGATCTAGTTCCGATTCATATGTAGGCTGCACAAAACTGCTTTCTAATTTCGCAAAATAAATACTTGTCAGAACATAGCTAAATAGTATCCAACTTATCAGGAAAAGACGGAATGAGTTTATTTTAGTGAAACCCTCAACCGGTTCACCTAATTGTGTTTTAACAAATAATTCTAATATTTGCAATAACTTTAATTTTTTAACATTATAATTGTTTATTATTCTAGTCGTAACTTTTAACAGAACTATGTAAAATATACAAACGAACAAGTAGTTTGTCAGTAATAAACGCCACACTGAATTGGTAAACGTATTAACAAAAATTAAGTATTGTGGAGCCATTTTGGCTGCTGGTACTACCAAATAGAGTTTTCGCTTATGATAAGGATATAGCTGCTCTATATGATTTTCCATACAATTCAAAACAAAACGTGTATTAAATGCAACTTGTGTGATTCCGGAAGTCACATCCTTTATTACGCCAGTAAAAGTTCCATTTCTGCACGCACCGTAACTCTCATTGTCTTCTGGTGTAATATATAGTGCAGTCGCATTCAATTTATTTATTATAGTTTTTGCAACCATCCCATCAATTGCTGAAAAACCATTAATTTTAAAGTTCTTATTCGGAATTGCCCGAACTTGGTCAGAAAACATCGAAATTTTTAATTGCAATTTATGTAAGTTGCGAAGTTTATCATAAAAGTATTTATTATTTTTAATCAATTTAATTTGAAATCCTTTCTCGGTATATGGCTCAAAAGTATAAATTTTACGATGATGAACAATTGTAACAACGTCCACGTTTCCTTTATGAAACATTGTATTGAATAAAATTGACAATTGACTTATAGATGCATTCATCCAAACAAATATATATTTATGAAGAAATTTATTACGTTGTTTTCCATTTATAAAATTTTGAATAGATTTTAAATATATGCTGGAGTTTATTTTACTTTCCGGCATCATAAATATGTTTATACTTGTAAAATTACGATTTGGTTCCAATTCAAAGTTGTCTATTGTAAGTGAATATACAGGCAAATCGATCATTTTTTTAAAAAGAAAACTTTCAAGCTTATTTGTATCTTGGCTACTGTAAATTAAATTTACCCATGATGCATATTTTGTTGCAATTTCGAAAATTTTATTTGACACCGATTTCAAGACCAATTCATCATCTTGATTTGTAGCATTTGTGTTTAGAATAAAATCATGACCACATGAGTTTATCCACGCCACGTTTCTTAAAATCAGAACTAGCAAAGTAAAACTAATTTCATTCATTTTTAGGTTTTTCTATTCTATTTAAGATACAGCAACTTTCGACAATCAACTACAGAATATAACCAAATGATTTCCATTTTATACATTTCCCAACTTCTTACAAAAATGAATTCTTACAAAATTAAACATATTTTGTCAAAACTTAAAGGAATACAAAAATGTGTTTGTAAATTATAAGTGAACATGAAAACTATTTGTTGTTTATTAAATAAGTTAATCTCGAGAGAATAGTTAGATTTAATTTGAAAAATTAACTAAACAAATATTCCTGCCCACATATAGAATTTTTTTTTATTTACATTAGTAAAAAATATGATATTTATTTATTACTAGATACATTCGGGTCTCCGTCAGGCCGCCACTCGCTTAGAATGGACATGTCTCATCAAAACTTCCATTGAAGATATATTATTTACAAGAACGATAGAACGAGACGCCTACAACAACAATACACACAAATTTATGTTGAAAAGAAAATTTGGGTAGTTTTGCTTAATACATACATGCCCAAATAATACATAGGAGTCGTTCTTTTTACCACATACCCGAACAAAGGATTCAAGAATCCCCTCTTTGACAATATAACATGCAGATAAGAACTATACAATATTGTTATATTTTTATATTTGATGATGAAAAGTTAGAAATATTGAAGAAACTTGTCAACTTTTAAAAATAACAATTGGAAAAGAAATTAAAGAAGAATTAATATTAGCTTTAGAGCAGAATGTATGTAAATAAAGCCATTAAAAATAATATGAATAAGGATATTACTTTCTACAAATAGATAGAATGAATGCATATTGAATTGTACATAAATGGCTGTTTGCTCTTATAATAATTTATTTAATGAGCTACAAAATAATTCGACAAATTTTGGATTACTGTTACAAAACTAATATTTTTGTTCTCGTCAGGATCGTAGAGGGATTTAGACAAAACTTGGACATTTTTTTCATTGCAATTTTGACAATTTTGGTTACTGAATGACCAACGAAAGGTCTAAAAGCTTCCTATACTATTGTACAACATAAATAGGTTACCAGTAAAAATTTAAAACGAATGTATCAATCATTATAAGGTACGTCTCATTCCCATCATAAGTTATAAGTAACAGTGGCTTTTTGTGAAATAAGCTAATAAGATGTTTTCAAAGCATTGAAGAACTACTTTCGTACGATGTTTGCACAATGCTTTTTTGGAAAAATTTTGAAACAATACATATCAATTATGTTCATAAACCTAATAGAATTGTCTCAAAGAAAACAGTGACAATTTATTCGTAAGTCAAAATTGAAAGTGATCATATAGAAACCGAAGACGCCCACTCCTTTTTATTTGCTCGAATTAAGATGTAACTCCAGAAAACATTAAAGAAACAATCACTAAATTTACAAGAGAAAGTTAACACTGTAAGGACACGAAACGAATGTATAGACAATATTATACATGAACTTTTTGAAAACTGGGTAACACATTTGCAGAATAGTCAAGCAAAAGTAACAATGTATTGTTTATGCTGACCGCATTCATAGACAGATTAAGTACAATAAAAAATATTTCTTTATGCGATGTTTTGCTTTTAATGAAATACAGCTTCATCGCTATGCTTCGCAAGATTTATAAATCTAAAAGACAAAAAGATGATCTAGAATATCCAAAGCAAGCAAATTTTTTAAAGCTTAAGATAGAATGTTCCATAAGAAATCTATTATATAAAATTATATATATATATAAATGTTTTCTTTGCAAAATTATTGTAATAGGTTATGATTAGTAACTTACTGCTTATAAAGAATATATATTAGGTAAATTGATAACATTTATACCCAAAATAATAGAATAATTTAGTGGAATATATACATCAACTCAAAGAATAGCAAATGTACACTGATATGTTCGTGAACAAAGCATATTTTTTTTAAAGAGATCACTTAATCTTAATCAAAATGTGATATATACATGAATATTTATTCATTTTTCGCATTTTCAGTTGCTTAACTTTTCCAACATATATCAAAACTTTAAAATTCTCAATGTAAAGTAACGAAATTAGTAAAAAAAATATATTCTAGATAATTGATCGTTTTAAATAACAAAAGCACATATGGTATACTAGTAGCACTAATGTTTTAAACAATTACTGATCACATAACATTATTATATAAATTTATGTTTAGATATGTATAAGATAATGAACTTCTTAATTTGAAATCTTTAAATATTAGTCATTTTATAACTTTAAATAATATTGTAATCAAGTCCAATGATTGCTTGTATCTTTCATGTAAACTTTAACAAAACTAAATATTTAATTATAAAAAAATACACATTTAGGTTTTATTTTGAGAAGATTTCCATTTAAATAAACATTGCTCAACCTTAAGATTTCTCTGATTTTTGGCTACTTGCCCGAAAATGTATCTATAACTAAATTGAAATTATTTCAGATGAAAATAAAAATAATTAAATTGCTCTCAGTGTCTCAATTGTCTCATAACAAATAAGCATTGCTGGTGACATCGGAAAATGATTATTAAAAAAGATGTTTTTATATGTATGTAAACATCAATTTGGATGTTATATTCCATAGTTTTGAATATATATATTATCGATTATTTCAACCGAAAAAATTTTTTTGCATTAAAAGTTTTATAAATTGTATTTTTCGAAGTATTAAAATCTATAGATAAAACAATTATCAGGTAGAAAAAGTGAAAGTGCCAAACATGGAAGAAATTTATTAATAAAAACAATGGGAAAGTACGCGATGGAATCAACTATTCCATCGCGGAAACATTGTACTCACACCATCGCAAGACCGAATCTTAAAAAGAAATCGTAAGTTTTTGAAAATGACGTGCTGTCGTCTATTTTCTATAAAATACAAACTTTAGGCGCAAAATATTAGTACGAAATAGAAAATGTGGAAAAAGTGAAGGAAATAGAAATAAAAAACCAATGCCGTCTTACGTCTTGAATTATCAGTTCTTAAATTCACGTCCGAAGCTTTCCGATATGAATAAGAGTCAATTTTATCAAATGTCTTTATTTATTTCAATTCAAATTCATAATTTCCCTGCCAACTTGAAAGTTGAAAGAAGGTTGAAAAACTAATATTTAAACATTTTGATTTGTTCCTGTAATTTGAAAATATTTCATCGTTTAGTGTTCCATCGTACTAAAACTGCAAAGCGATTAGAAGTTTAGACGATTAAGCTTCTATATCACATTTTATCTAATAACGCTTATAAAATATTCAAGCGAGACAGATGAGTTATTTTTTAATCAAAATGATGTTTAAAACCGTATTTTCAAATTTCATAGCAATTTATAATAAAAACAACTATGGTAGTTAGTATACTATTTTTTTAATTATTATGCTACCTACAAAATAACATTTTTGTAAAAACTTGTTTGAATTACTTATTCATATACAATACCTAAAACGAAAACTTAACCAATTAATTTAATTTTTAGGTATATGCCTGATTCTAGTTTAAAACTCTTTTCAAGTAGATACATATATTGTGGCAATCGAACATTGGATGACAACATAGAGAGAAAGATTGCAGTTAAATTGTGCTAGTAGATGGTTCGAATATTTTTGTAAAAGAGCATAAGCAACTATTGTTCGAGCAATACTTTTTTCGCGCCTCACAGAAGCTCACCCCAATCACATCAAACTCACTACAACCCTCCAAAGTGCATTCGTGGATCCCTTTCTTTGTATGTCCCCTTCGACACCTATTGCAATGAAACTAATATCAGTGAGGTCGAATATAAATATGGACTAACAGACATCTACATAGATGCTGTTAGAGTAAGGCAAGAGTATTATCTTCGAGACGACTGTTGCACTGTGAACAGCTCTTCATAGGCCTCCGTCTAATATCTCTTAGAAAAAAGATGTCTTTCGTATTTGTAATTCCTTTAATATTATCTGTTCTATAATTCTGCGCGTTTTAAAACAAGAAAACCGATATGAAACTCAAATTAAATACAAGAACTTTAGGAAATTTCATACAATATCGATTTTCTGCAACCGGTAAACCTAACCCAAGGTCTAACAGACATGCTAGAAGCAACTGAATAAAACTGTTCTGTGTTTGAGGCAACTATAATTTTTAGAAACTTCAACAGTAGGTTCCAAAACAACGATCTTAAGAAAGGTTAAAGAAATAATTTAAATCTAAAAAATGTTGACATCAATTTGAAATGAAATATTTTCTCAAAAAGTCACCAATTGCATCTACATGATCATTAAAACCATATTTTACTGCTGTTATTTTGTCAGTTTACTGCATAAAGTAACGCATTGGAGTGGTAGGGCTTGTTTTTAGAGCAAAAATTAGCGAAATTTTGATAAAAATTCACTGCAGTTTAAAGTATTCTGTAAATGTTTGTGTAAAAGCATTTGTGAGATTTATGGTAGAAGTATAAGTACTCTGTAACTATCAACTGTCAGATAATAATTTCATCGCTTCCGCTCTAAAAATTAATTGTGAAATAATAATATTCCATCGTCGTGTAATTTGTTTAGATATTTAGATATATCATTTTAGAATGTAGTTCAATTTACGCTTTCTCTTGCTTAAATTTATTCTGGAGACTGAACTTGACCATGCTTTCATTCAATCAAAATTTTTGAAGATAAGGGTGTTTGCGCTGCAAGTGTGTTATTGCAACCACCCAAAAATATGCTCTTAAATGACGAATGTAAGTTTCTGGGTTATATACAACATGTTGACGAAAAGCTGAATGATGTGCTCACCAAAATGTTGATGAGTACGTCAACATGTTGGTTGGGTGTCATTCAAAGGTGCAGACTATAATTTTTGAGTGTCATTCACAGATTTTTTCTCTTGAATGACATTAAAATATGATAGTCTGCTCCGCTTTCAAAGGAGTCTTTGCAATCTGCAGTGGTGTAGGTAAGAGAGTTCCCAATGTGGACGAAAAAGCAACATAAATTCCATTACATGATGCTTTGATGTAAAAGCTTTGGACGTTTTGAAATTAGTTCTCTTTTTTGTTAAATTAGGGGAGTTTGAATAAAATTATATAACAATCCACAATTTTATGGATGTCACAATCTAAAAGCACTACCCGCTGATAAATATTTTTAAAAAGGATAGAACATAAATAGAACATAAAACAACCATATAAAGTATATTATGGTAAAAAAAATTTTAAATGTTTAAATAAAATACAAAATTAATTTCTACTGACATTGCAAAATCATTTAAGTAGAATATTTAAAGATATAATACAATAAAGTTTCAATAATGAAGTGAAAAAAAGGAATTTAGTTTGTATTTGTTTATAATAAGCATACCATTGTCATACTGATGATCATACAAGTCTTTAGAAAAACTTTGAACCTCAGACTTTTCCGTTGATTCATTTTCCTGTTTCTCATTTTCAGTTTGAACAGGAGAGCACAGTCCTGATGATGACACTAAACGAGTTGAATTAATTTTTTCATTTTTAGAAATATGCAAACATTTCGAAAGATACCTTTGGAAGAGAAAGATGAACAGATAACAGAAGTGGAAGAATGGTTCCTTCCAACATCGCGACAATTTTCAATAGGTGTCATCGGATCTTTCTCCGATGGCACAATTTTGTTTGTGTCTTCTTCAATAGAATGTTTCAAAGGCGAAGTTGAAGTTATATTTAAATGAGCAAACGAAGTTTTATCAGTCTTAGTTGGAGATCGCACACAATCTGACAAAACTTTAACAGGGCTTGCATTTTTTGGCTTTACAGATGGTAGAGGTGGTAAAGGCGGTGATTTTACAGGACTCGACACTTTATTACAATTTCTCGGTTTTATCTCTGGTGGTATTATTTTTTGTCGAGCTGGTGGACTTGGCGGTTTGCTTATTACAGACGTTAAAGAATTAATCAAGGCTGGTGGTTTCATTTCAGCATCAGTTGGAACAACTTTATAGCTTTCACTTAAAGAATTGTCAATAGATACAGAATCTGTATTTTCCTTCAATTGAATGCATGAACCTGGTATAAGAATAGTACCAGGACCAGTGCGAATTATATCACAACGATTTTGATCACTGTGATTACGATTTGATTTTGTTTTTGTAAAATGGGAAGTCCATTTCTTCTGCTTTTCAATTAATTCACGTGAATTAAATTTGCGTTCAGGCTTTTCTGGTTTATCGACTGATTGCAATAATCCTCCAATACTAGATGAACAAATATCATCCGATTTAATACGAGATACATTGTGATGTAGTTTTGGTGATGGCTCAACAATAAATTTTACGTTATTTGTTGTCACACATCCGTTACTTTGTGTGCAATTATTGTTCACCACTGATGCGGCGACATTTGCTCCTGGAGGAAATGGTGAATGTTTTTTTGGTGGAGAAGCCGAATGATCTGAGGACCTTGATGAACAGCGATCAGGGTGATTTAAATCGCATAGATTATCATCACGCGAGTTTGAACGCGATATCTTAATGCTTAAATTTGAGTTACTCTCAACTCCAAGCTTTTCAAAAAGAGCTCGAGCGTTATTAAAACGGGTTGAATGCGATTCCGTACGAACCACAGCTATTGAGTTCTCGACATGTTTTCTCTGAAAAAGATTTGCTATTTGAGAAACTTTGCCAGCTGGATGTATCGGCTTCTCCATGATTAAATCAATAAATCTGAAAAAACCAAAAATTAACTATTAACAAATGAACGCATATTTTTATATATAATAATTCATATAAAAACAATAATATACAATTTAATTTTGATTGCACTAAGGTTTCTTCAATAAAAATATAATTATTGTATATAATTATCATTTTAATATATTAATATTACATATTTAATTATCAAAACCCATGCTAAATATCAAATTTGAAGTGAAACAAGCCTTAATATACAAATTATATTAGAGATATAGCGAGAATCAGGACAAGCAACACGAAAAAACTGATAAGACAACAGAAGTAAACAATGCACCCAAAATCGTTTAAACATTAAATTACACGATTTATAGGATGCAGAATGTTAGATATTCAATACACTAAAAGAAATAGTAGTGTGTTAACTGTTTCTACCACTAAAGCTATCGACAATATCTGATTAACTGGAATGGTTGTCAAAAAGAGGGATCTACACACATAGTCGGTTTTGTTTTTTTTTTGTATATATGTATATATTTTTTGTATATATCTATTCGTATTTCGACAAATTCGCTTTTGCCTTCATCAGGACAACAAAACCAGATCCATCCTGCCACCATTTTATACTTGATACCCTTAAGGACAAAATCAATAACCCAACTAATTAAAATCAAATATAAGACCTGCAATAAGTATAAATAGCTTGTAAATTTCATAGGTGTTTTTAATATTAGGAATTCTCCTGATGACCTCAATACTTATCCATCTCAAGTGAATACATATCATTGTTCATCTATAGAGTGCGATAAAACCAGCCAAGTTGCACAGAGATATGACGCTTTTGGGAAGAAGCTGCACAACGAAGGCCTGCTTGGATGCTGAATGTGCTTTAAGTTGACCTTTTAAAATAGGTCGCTTGTAACGATGCTATGCGACTAAAGCTTAGTTCAGGTAATACTCTCCACATCACTCCATCATAACAAAAAATAAATTAATGCAGCTCGCACTATATCGTACTATATTTTTTAATTTTCTAAGCAGCTGAAATTTTATTGTTACTTATAGTAACAGTAATCGTCCGACTTTTAGTTTTTTAACTAAAAATATTTCGCAGGATAAGAGGAAATGCAAGATATAATACTTTTTCTGAAAATTCAGAAATCGAGATTAATTACTGGATAATATCTGACCGGAAACTTTTTTCAAAGTTTAGTAATGTCAATGTCATTCCATATAGAAACCAAAAGAAGGTAAAATACGTTATAAGTAACTAAGGCAAAACTTAATAGAGCTAAATGTGTTAACATTAGTTCTAGAATTAAGTTAGACGATAGAATATTTAATTTTGAGATAGACACAGCTTTCAAGAAATCTTAATACAAATGAGTTATCAGGAAAACCAAAAGCAAAGGGTAGAAGGAATTTTGTAAATCAATTAAATCAAACAGAGCATCTGCTAAGCTTAGAAAGATTCTGTCCAAACGAACTACAAGTGTATAGTGTCTTAATAAAGTGGACGACACAATGATAGAAAATTCTCAGGAAACGCAAACTAGTAGCTTCGTCCCGATAATAGTTACTACATATACACAACCATAATGCGTTCAAAACTTAAATACGACATTTTAGTTAAGTAGTCAACTCAGCAAATCATAACAGGAGGTATTATATGTAAGGTTGTCGTGTATTAAATCGAAAGTAGTCAAAGAATGTAATTGTTAAACTAAATCGACGCGTTGATTTAGTTGCGCTCATCTGGGTTTTTGGACATAGTAACATTAAAAAGAATGAAAAACAGGACTTGATGTTAGCATGGATGCCTCGCTAATGATACTGTAGGAACCACGGAGATACCTATCGTCACTTTTTGCTTGTAAGTCACTATTAAAAGGTAGTTGTGACGATGTACTCACAACGTATGTAATATATCGGTCAATCTGACATTATAGTAACATAAAAAGAAGTTTTGTGGCTATATCAGAGTCCGCGTTCATACGGATAAGTTAATTATATATGTATATGTATTGGTTTGCATTATATCATTAAGGAAGAGGACAAAATCAGTGCCAGTTTTTAATATTGTAAGCTTAATCATCTAAACGGTTTTTTGTGTATTTGCTGGAAATAATTGTAAAACTTATTTTACTATAGCAATTATTCTAAAATAGGTATCACTACATGGTTTTGATATGGAACATTAATATCTATACTGCACTGAAAGTAATTCATCATATTTCGCAATGATAATCGAACCCGTGTGTAGAAAAAAATTACTAAAATGTGTAATTAAAATACTAGATAAATATGGTGGCTGCGGTATCCTTGTATGGGGGTGTACTGCTATTGCAGAATCCGGTGTTGAGGAAGTTACTACTATTAATAAAATTTTGGCCAAAATGATTTATCTAAATATTATTGAAGAAAATTTGTGAAAGAAATCACAAATGTACTTATATAAATACACACTTTCTAGGACTAATGATGCCTGTTTTACTATGTACATTTACAACTCCTATGTGACTGTATTAAGAAGTTTCTAATAATAATGATAACAAATAAAAAATTTGTACATATATAGCTAAGATTTAAGTAAATACAAGATTAAATATCTCAAGTGTTATAATAATAATCATTTGTAGGTAAATTTAAAATGAAAATTATTAAAACATTTCTTTTTTCGCATTGCTTTAAAAAAGGTAATGTAATTTTGTGATAGATAAATTTAATCTTATCAAATAACACAGATAAAAATGTTACACTTTATGGACATGCATATTTTTTTAACGTAGGGAAAATCTATTAATATGTATTTATTATTTCTTCTATATCTTAAGACGAGTTTCGATGAAGTTAAGCTAACATTTTATTTACTTTGCATGCGCAGAATTTGATCATTTTTGCGGGGTAATCGACATTGTATTTAAGGGTTGATACTTTCCAATGGAATGCCGCTAGTCTACTGAAGAATGCAAAAATGGTATAATTTTATAATTGGTAATTATACAATATTAGTAAAAATTTTAAATAAATCCATTTAATCCATTTAATAAAATAATTCTATCGAATAATTGAATGAGCAATTTCTAATACTGTTAATTTACAACTTATATATGCAAAATGAAAGTTGTCATTAAATAAAAAATACCTTATATTATATTTTCTTTAATTATTTCACACAATTTTTGTAGACACAGGGATTTATGTTTAATAAGGAAAAATGGTTTTAAATTATAGAAAATTATTATTTTAAAGCATTTTTAATTGCACTGGATGTATTGCACTTTTACATTCTTTATAACTTGTTTTTATTATTTTTTTTTTCGCTACTTCACAGCTATTTTATATGAGCTTCTATTTAAACATAATATCATTTCGTTGTATGTGAATATAAAATATTGGTTCATATAAAATATTAACACAAGTTATAACTTTATTTAAGAAATCAATAAACACCAGAAACATATTATAACAATGTACATAGAAATTGCAAATGCTCCGTCACCGACACCCAACTCAATATTCCATAATAACAAAAACGAGTAAGAAAAAGGAACAGATAAAGAGTAGTTTAAGTAGAAACAAAAAAATTATTCAAAGTTCACAATAGATTTAAAAAAATCATAAATTATATAATATATGCTTAATAAATTTATATTATACTATATTATATATTAATTTTTTTTTATAAAAGATATAAATATTCAATTATGTAATTATATATTTGTATGTAGAAATAAAATTAACTAAATAACATTTTGTTTTTATATACTGGCAGTGCCTTAATTGGCTTGATAATACAAGAATTATTTTTTATTTACACAAAATATTTTGTTTTTAGAATGTCTCAGAATGTTTAAATATAATATATATATAGTTATCATAATATGTTTTTTCGCAAATGGGTCAACAAATGAATCCGTGAAGAATGTACGTTTTATATTTATAGATGTGCTGAATCTAAAATATCTCCTAAATTGTTTTCATTTTAGGTTTGCGTGAAACTTTTACATTCCCTCGCTGCGGCACAAGGGGAGTTTGTACGTTGTTCTACAGTACATGCTGTGCCAGTTAGGCTATGCTTGGCTTGTGAATTGTCATATGCAAATACAAGTAAGGCGTATGAAAATTTGGAAAACGAAAAAAATTGTACAAACAAATATTTTGACAAGGACCGTATAAATATCGTTTTGACTACACAATCTATACTAATTGGACTATGGGATCGAGCATTTTGTAATGGTTTGTATAAATAAATATATTTTTGTATATTCCATGATTTAAAAGGACTCATCTTATTTAATTGATATTTGCAAAATAGATTGTTTTTCAAGTAATAATTCCGAAGTTTTTGATAATAAGTTGACTAAATTAACAAATTGCCTAAATCAACATAAAAGTATGGAATGTGTGGCGTGTTTATCAGCCTACGTAGAATTAAACAGCTTTTATCAAAATATTGATCAACACAATAATGGAAAAGTATGTTACGATTTGCAAGATGCTGTAAGTTTTTTTAAATATCTCCTATAATATTAAATGGTGAAATGATACAATATTTTTTACAAAGATGAATCGTACTCGTAATAACTGGTCTAAGGAACTACGATGTTGTCATAGAGAGTTTAAAATAACATTTTTTATGATTACTACAGGTATTATAACTTGTTTATTTGTGATATTTTATGGAGGAATTTATACCTTTACGAAACGACAAGAAGCAAATCATGATATACTAATTAATGAAGGTAAATATTAGAATTTAAAAAAGTCAAATGATAATAAATTTATTTTCAGATCAAAACACAATTACCCAAACACAGTCTGCAGTTACAGTACCACAATAAATTTGCCTTTCTTATTCAAAATCCAAAGAATGTAAATGGAATATAGTACCTTTAGTAACTTTATCTTATAGTATTTTTAAAATTTTATCTTAAGTTATTGTACATTATTATATGATCACCGACTATGAGAAGAAAATAGGGCAGAGTCGCCTAGTCTTCTCAAAAAATACTATAACTAAATGCGAATATGAGTGATGATTGTTATATTGGTATTAAATCAAATTTTTATATCTAATACAAATAAGTAATAAATCTCACAAAAATTGAGAACATGTCTTTATAGTACAAAAAATTTAAGCTTTCACAAAAATCTGTTTCTTTTTTATTTGAACAAATTTATTGCCAATACCCGTAAGCACACACTTCAAAATTCAGAATGATCGCATTTATTATCTCCTTCACAGTTTGTGTTGTCATTCGGCATTTCAAATAAAATTTATTACTAATGTTGGTAGTTGTAACGCATCAATGAATAGCATCTTTTCGTTAGAGCTCATACACAATAACAGTCACAGTCACAGTGACAGTCTGTAGTAGGCGACGTTGCCCTGAAGCCATAGTAATTGCTGTAGTTTACCACCTAAGGTAACCTTAACCATCAGGATTTCCTGCCTCCCAAGTGCCATATATGAATTATATTAAACTCTTTGCTTGCTAATTATTTGAAACATCATTTTTAAGTTTTCAAATTTAGATTTATTTATTGAACTTAGAAATGTTCCCACCAAAATTTCATGTCTTTAATTAAATCAAAAGGAATACCGAGATACGACTACAGTTGCTTCATCACGCACGGCTAGTTATATCGCACTTTATCTAATCGGTGATGAGGATACATTAAACATTGTGTTGAGGTTGCATTTTCACATCTACGAACTGCTGGCATTGGTACGTTTTAAAATCAAATTAAAACGGCTGCTGAGAAACCACCACAGCACTACTCTTTTTTTCACTAATTTGATCAGCTATAGCATTTGATCAGTCAATATTTTTGACATTCGATTTTTACTGCTATTCCAATCCACACATTAAATACAGTAGAGGCTCACAAATTAGAACTCTTACAAACTCGATTTATCCAGAAGTTAGAACCAAAAAATTTCAATACATTGTATGCACTAAAAGCTCTAATTTTATAACTTTTAGTTCTAATTTTTAAGCGAATTTTCCTGTCTGCTTTTTTTTTTAATTAGGTATAAATAAGTAAATTATTGTGTTACTGTTCGTACTTTGTTTGAAAAAAAATAAAGGGTCCGAATATGAGTTCAAACCGATAATGATACTTCAATAAGAAATTGGTGATGGCGTTCCCATCCCACATTAAATGTTTTTTATTCTAAAACGATTGAAAGCGACAATATTTTAATAAATTGGGGCAAAAAGAATGACTCGTTTCCTACTGATCACATGACCAATCTTGTAACTTTCCATAAAAATAACATTGTAAAAAATTTGACTAAACCTAAAAAAAAGGAACATTACTCAATATTTTATAAAACAATACTTAATAAGGATTGATTTCAACTGTAAAATAAAGTTTTTATATAGAATTTCAATTTATTGATCATTTTTGGAATATGGGAAGTTATTGGAAATGTATTATCTTTTTAACTTGTTGGATTTTAAGAATAATGTTAGCATATGGGAAAGTAAATGGTGAGTAATTCATTAATTATTTTTCAGAAAAGGTCCTAGAGAAAGGTATTCGTTGTCGTGGAAGTTTGGGAAAGTCAGGTAGAAATTGTCAATGAATATAAATACCTCGGGATATTAATTACTTATAACCTTTTCTACATTAAACATTTGACCTCTAAACATTTATTAGGTAAAAGCACAATTAATTCCACGAGGGCAAAGTACTTGTCTAATCATAAAATAATTTTCACAAATAAATTAAAATTTTTCTACACGACAGCACGTTCACTAGTACTCTACGGTGCCCAAATTTGGGGTTACAAACAGTACGATCAAGTGGAATATCTCTAGATTTTTTATAAAGATTCCATTTCTACTCACAAACACCCCAAAACTATATGCTCCACTTAGAAACGGATTAACCAACGCAGTGCAAACATATTTCGCCTGTGTAAGAAAAATTCTTAATCTCCACTCCACAAGGCTTCCCCAAATAGTAGCTGAATTTACAACTGACAAAGACCAAAGATTGGGAAAATAAGTGTCTAGAACTTTGTCTTTCAATAACCAGTATTCAGAGTATGGATCTTAAATTATTACACAATAATAATATAACTGTATACAAACGGGGTGAACACGATATGATGCAATATCAATATATTATGCATAATTATTATTACGAAAACACTCAGTACATATCGCACATATTTTTTAAATGTAGATTTAATATATCTGAATGTGATTATTCATTGCGTTATTGTCATGAAATAGAAAATATATATCATATCATTATATGATTATTGGTGTTAATAATATTAATATTATTATATTATTGGAGTATGTCCGATTTTCAGAGAACATAGATGTCTTTTTTGATAAAGCACTTCTGTCCGAAGAAGAAGTTAAAATCTTGTTTAATGGTAACAATACTAATAACCTAAAGGAATTTATGAAGTGTTTTAAGTTACACAAGATTAATTATTGAAAAATTTATATGAATAATAATGTTAATAATATGTACTGTTTTTTTTTTGTATGCAAATCTGACACATAACAAATATGTTATTCTCAATTTAGATTTTAAGTAAAATTCTATAATTTTTATAAATGACGAATTTCTTTGAATCTTTTTTTAAAAACTGATAAATAAATGTTAGGTTTCATAGGATATGTAAAACAAATATAATGCTGTTCTTTTATCATAACAAAAACAATTAAAAATAAATTTTAAATTAAATAAAAATGAAAAAATGTACTCTTGATTCTTCGAATTATCTTTCTTTTATTGTCTTTTTTATACATCATTTTTATTGCCGAAATTTGTATTTGTTATTCTTAGTCCTGTTAGATATCAAGACTTGGGTTATTATAGAAATATACGTCAAGTTTATCTATTATATTATTTTTTATATAGGTTATCTATTTTAAAGTGCTTTAACGTAACGATTTAATTCCTTGATCGGATAAATGAAAGAAGTCGTATGGATAAGAGGATGTTAAACGAAACTCCACCCGAAAAAAAAACGTAGTCAAATTAATCACTCTATCTCAAACATCAGGGAGATACCAAAGGGCTTACTTTTGTCTTAATATGTGTATTAATATAAAAAATTGTTATTTTAGTTAAACTTCAATAAAATAGTAATGTACTTTTATTTATTTTAAAATCTCAAGTTTTACAGAAATTAAAATAACGAGATTAAGACCAGTCAGTTTAATTACCATATGACAATGAACGGAGCTTGTGAGGCAGATTAATTTCTTTAAAATATTTTTATAAAATTATATACATGAATATATGCAATTGATAAAGGTGCTTACCTACTCATTCGAATTTACTATTCTGTATATTAAAGTACTAATTATATATGCCAGAAGCATATACAAAATATTATATATACACTATTACCTCCGATTTGAGTCGTTAAATGGGACCAACAAAATGAGACGCAAATTAAAAACATTTCTTCAAATATTTCATTTTCAAAAATATTCTGATTTTTGACCACGTGTTGATGGAGAATTACCTTTTAACTAATTGAATATCCACAGTCTTATTCTAAATTAACATTTGGATCAATGACATACTGCTTTGATTTAGATTTTCTGTCCAAATGCATAGAAGGGACTTCATTTTAATTTTTATTTCAAGAAAATTTGTTTTCGCTTTTGACTCATTTTTAAAGTTTATAAAACAAAAATTTAGCTTTCCAGTTTAACACACAAATGGAAACTAATCTACAAGAAATAAAATGGATATCCACTCTATACGCATATATTAAAAAACGCCGTGAATCAAATCGCTACCAACGCAATTCGAAGCCAAAACTCATTTTTTTTGGCGACTCAATTCGAATCAACGCAAATTGTGGCGACAAAAATCGGGGTATTAGTGTAACTGTTATAAAAAACAAGTTATCGTGCTTAGTATAACTAATGAGTAATATAATACATGTAGACCTAGTTAACTGATTATGATTTTCAATTCAAATATAGAAAACTTTTTTAAGCACTGCCTTCATAATAAGTAGACATCCAATTTAAGGAATTGGATGTTTAGTTTAATTGAATATATCGAACAAAAAAAAATTAGTTTAATTGAATACATCACAAAAAAAAACAAAAATTAATTTAATTGAATATATCAAAAAAAAAAATTAGTTTAATTGAATACATCAAAAAAAAAAAAAACAAAAATTACTGTAGTTAAATATATCAAAAACAAAAAAAAATTGTTTCAGTGATTAAGTTAGAAAAAAAAAACGCTACAATGATTTTTATGTCCTTCCTCTTATAGGCCTTTGCAAATCATAATTTTGTTGTAATGTATACTGTATAGAAGCCTTAAGGGCATTCTAGTTGTAATTTCAGTAAAAGATTTCTTTTTATGGTCGATTTTTTACCTGGAGTATTCGTTAAAACATTAGATTTTTTTTTGAATAGTTAACGGAAGTACTTTGTCGATCGGTAAATTGTGTATTAATTTCATTGGGCATCTACTGTAATATAATGTTTTAATTATACAGCTAAACAATTTTCAAGCTATTTGGATATTTTAATCTAATATTATGAAATATAAGACTATCAATATAATATTGAATACAGTTAGATATTGTCTATATGGTGATAAATTAATTTTTATTTGCATCGCTTAGAGAAATTTTTAATTTTCCAATTTTTTAGTTTATACTAAGAGATACAACAATTAGCTCGCTCATCTTAAGCAAGAAATTGCTTCAAGCCAGAATACTGAAGCACATTAAAAAGCACACTTTCCGAGTACGTACTTTTATATATTGTTGAATCGAGTTAATTCGTTTTAATGTCCCTGCAAACAGTAGAAATCCTACGATGAACGGTATTCGTCATAAACAAGTGGCTCCGGGATGCTTCAGGAGCGGGATTGTCTTTGTTTAGGGGCCACTTACCAGCTTCAATAACCAAGTATCACTCACAACTCTCTTTAGAGACACAATAAGCAGTTTTACATGGAGGATTTTAGAACAACAACAATAGTTCAAGATAGTAGTTCTAAGACAAAGACTTAGTTACTTCTGAAGCCGTCACTTTTCGCATGCTTAGTTCATTTACTTTAATAACTTTTATAGCACTACAATTGTTTGTCAATCCTAATTGTAATCTGATATTTAAAGTGTCCAACTTATGTTAAATATTACAAATATCAAACTAACCAAAGTACTGGGACCTTAATATATCATTTGTGCCACAACTCTAATAATAGAAATTTGATAAAGCTTTACGGTTAAATGTAAATCTTCCTTTCTAAATTCTATCTAATTAAACCGATCAATAAAAGTTTATATAATGTTTTAGAAGAACAATCTAGTAGATAGATGTTGTTGTTGCCGCAGGGATATCATGAACGAAATTAATGACGAATATATGGGTAAGGATATGGATGAGTAGTAGATAAATAATGATGAACAACAACATATTCATCATTAGCAAGTAGATAGTGATGAATATATTGTTGTTATTGTCCGTGTCATTTGCCGACCTTGCGAACTGTAAAACTCCAACGAGAGTGATGAGCGAAACTTGGTTTGGGGACGTAGCCTGGCCGTTTTCGGAAATAAAGATTAGTATCAACCATATCAATTAGCCATTCCTTAATATCTGTTGGGTCTGAAAAACAAAAACAATAAATTAGAATTTTATAAAATACATCATATTCGTGCATGCAACACTGTTACAAATATATCTTTTAATGGATATTCCTGTAGTAGTTTTAATGATGTTGTAAATATCAGTCTGATTTAAATTCGTTCATCATATCACATCATATCGGTGGATGACAGCGATCAACGAAATTTGGGTCATCAAATTTTCGCTAACGTTAACACTGACGACACTCTTTAATCTTGTATATTTTTCACACTTTCCACTAAACTTAATTTTGTTGCTTTGCAACATTTTTAAGTTTTTAACACAGCAGTTCATTTTGTTAAAGAAGAAAGAGAGAGGAGAGAGTTATATGTAACCGTCTTTTAAGTCAGTTCTTTTTAGTCCATTCAATACGTTTAATTTTTCAAAAAAATCTAATTGATAAAACCTCTCCCTGATCTTCATACATTTTAATATATATATAGATCTTGAGGAATAAAAGTTCACATAATCATTATTATTTATTTGATTTCTTTTAATATTTTTATTGTTGTATTAATACGATAAACAAAAGTTTTAAATTTTTATATTAAGTATTGCTTGCAAGCATTTTCTTCAAATTATGTTGTTATCTTTCTCATCAAAAATGAATACAAATTTAGTTAATAAAATAAAAGATTTCACTTAAACCTGATTAGTGTTATATACACAATTGCATCTGGTAATAATATGTAGTTTATTGTTCATAAACACATACGTACATGTATATTTATTTAAGAGTTTGTGTCGTGATCTACAGAGCTCTTCATTGACATTTTGGGTTATATATGATACATACTGATGGACACTTCTATGTATGTTGGATTTCAATAATTATTGAGTTGCACTTCTTTTGTTGTTAATTATGTTTGGATTCGTAAATTTGCTTTTTATTTTAAAGCCACGCATTTTACGACTTGACACATTTTACGTCTTAATATTTAAAATATATTTCTTTTCTTTTTAATTGACGGAACACTATTAATCACATTTGACACATTAATCAGGCATTGAAAGTATAGTTAAACGTTAGCGTTGATTATCGCCTTGAGTCTCTGTAGTTTCGATGACCTCCTCTTTCGTTTACGCTTGGACGAAAATGACGTTCTCTTTCATTGCGAGATCCGCCCCCACGCTCCCGGGAACGATTAATATCACGATTACGATAAGAACCCGTACTACCAGATCCACTTGCAGCAGTCATAATGCCACTCGAAAAAGAACTATTTCCGCCCGTTGTTACAGATGCACTGGAATTATTATTTGTAGCAGACAAATTTGGAAAGCCAGGTGGCAAGGAACCAGATACTGTGGGAAGGCCTGCATTTTTCCAAACAGCGAAATCCTCATAAGAAGGAGCCTTATCAAAACCTGGAGGAGGTGGTCTCATAGGTTGTGGTGGTGGGTAGTCAGGTAGTGGTGGAGGTCCATCATAATATCGTACAGGTTGAGGTAATTGTTCATAGAGAGCAGAACCAGCAGCTGGAATGGAGCCTCCCGAACTGGAAGCTGATAGCGGCAATTGTCCAAATGGTGGTACAAATGGTAACGGTGGCAATTGATGCATTGTCCGCATATAATCAGTTACATAGGCTTCAGCTGCAGCTGAATTCATATACCGTTCCCAAGGCGGAAGTCCAACATCACCACCACCCACCCGCGATCCACTTGGTCCAGACATACCACGAAATGGGGACGAAGGTCTTTTGAAACCAGGCGGAGCACCTAATGGACGATATGGGCGACGTAACCCACTACTGTATGATCGTTTTATTCTCATTGGACCACCATTGCCTTCAAAATTTCTTCGATCCGTATTTCGAAAATTATTTATACTTCCACGACCGCCACGAAATGAGAGAGTGCGCGGAGGCTTATACACTACCCGTATTCCTTTCTCACGCATAATTTTCGCGGTTTCTTTCGATTTACGTAGTATTGGTGTAAGTTCAATTTTTTCATCTTCTGGAAATAAGCGACAAAGTTCTGCTCCTACTTTTGGTTCAATTTCCTGACCATCACGCCCAATTTTTACAGGTTTTCCTTCATTCCATGAATTAAACAAATGGGATGTACAATTAAAAGAAAGCTCTTTCCTGCAAATCCAATCAATTTCTATAACACCACCAAGTGCTTTAGCTGAAATACTGGATGGAAGAATCCATGAGACTTGTGGTATATCCCGCCGTGACTGTGCACTCATTCGTGCAAATCCAGCGAATTTACCTAGTTAAATAAATTTTATTTCTTTAATAATATATATTTAATAAAAGATAAAAATTAAAGCTAAAATGTAAATTTATTTTTTTAAAAAGATATGAGTATGTAACTCACACACGACGTTAAGTTAACTTTCGTATACAATGTTTTTTCACTCTTTCAAAAGAGTAATAGAGTTACTATGATCTTTCTAAAGTATAGAAATAGGCATTGGATACGGATACCAAACTTTATATATACATATTATATATTATATATATACCTACTACTTATCTTTCCCAGAGACTTAGTCAGTCTCTGGAAAAGTATGGATAATTTCAAAGAATAGGTTGAATTTGGTTTACTGTATCAAACAGTTTTCTCGTATCATAATTACATTGCCAATAATTTGTTTATGTTGATTGCTATGTTGATTATGTTAAACTTTATTGTGAACATATATGTATATTTCAGAAATACACATTTTCGTTTTAATGATACAATAATTAACAACTTTCTGCTTATAATAATTAACTGTTTTATAAAAATTGGAATCATTTAATTTCATGGGCCTCTCAAGTGTCCGAAATGGGGCTGGTCATAAGTTTTGAAATCTTCCTGATGAAAAATGTGATGGTATTTTCTAAAAAACAGTGTAGCAACTGACACCTGGCAGTTGTGGCATTTATACATCCCCCTTCACACAAATTATATAAAAAGAATGCATACGTTTGTAATGATATTAATTGCGGACAAAAGCATATATAAACGAAATACCAAGATCGGCTGGATCTATATTTTGCTGCTCGCCAGCTCTGCCAAACTTTAAAGTGATCTTAACTCAGGAAAGTTTCAATTCACACCTAGCTACACACTCGCCCCTATCATGCTACTTTCACCTACACCCATTCTTAACCCCTGCGTTTGTGTTGTAATACCATTCATGTTTTCTGCTATACACATCTCCAAAGCCTACAATAACAATATATGCTATATTTAGCCCTCCGGTAGTAGTGCCAAAACTTGCAAAAAGAGCGAAAAAAACCCGAGTTCTTTAAAAATAATTTTAAAGAAAATAATAACGTACTTGATTAATTAAAAGGTTTAAAGTTAACATTGACTGTTAGTAAAAAAAAAAAAACAAAACTGTGAAAGTAAAATTAATTTAATTCAAGATATGAAATATTACAATTATGTGTTCGGGCTGTGTCTTAACAGTTTATGAAATATTACAAACAAAGAGGAAGAAAAGAATTGTGCTATTGTTTCTACAACACTTGGCAAATTGGATGTAGTTTATTTAAATTGTTATATTATTTTAAATAATTCAGGAAATTTTTTCTATTTCAGACGTAGCGAAGCGCAGAGTGTTATGCAAGGAATATATAAAAAAAACATTTGCAATACAGTTGATGTGACATTAACATGTAGAATATATCGAGATTTTACATATATATTAAGCATATACCATGAATATATCTCACTTACCACTTTCATTTACTGAGAATATTAAAAGAACATTTCTGGCTTCTTTAAATGCCGAGTTAAGATTAGCATCATTTTGTGGAAGAGTTGCCCACACATTTTTGTTTTTAGATAAAGCAATATTATCAGCATTATTTGATTTAATTAAAAAGAATCGAGTATCCCTAAATAAGTAGTTTAGCTTGGTCATGTAATCATACGACTTATTTGCACTATTTTTATTGCTGTTGGTACTGCTGATATTAATTTTTTGATCTGGTGATGAACTCTTAACTGTTGTTTTACGACCATTTCGTTTGATATTTGCACCTGAGTCTGAATCCTCAGTTTCTGAATCGCTATCAAATGCAGGCTTTTTAGTTAACTTATCCTCATTGTCACTGCCATCACTCTTGGAAACAGTATTTGTTTGCTCAGCTGAAGAAGTATTTGCATTCAAAGTAGAAACAGATCTTTTTCGTCCTTTTTTCTCACATTCAACATTTGATTTATTATCTTTGACTCCAAGTTTGTTTTCTTGTGATATAGTATCGCTCACATTTTTCTTTGAAGCAATGTTTTTCCCATTTAATTCACTAACAGGCGATGCTGAACGCTTCAAACGATTTTCTTTATTTTTGGTAACTTTTTCATTGCTTTTCTTTTTCCTTTTTTCAGCAGACGAACCAGCGGAACTTACACTACTTGGTTGCGAGTCATCACTATCTGATCCAGAAGAAGCTTCGCTTCGTGTGTCGAAGTCGAAATCTTGCAATTCTTCTGCAATATCAGCTTCGTTTTCATCTAAACCTAGCAATTCAGACATAGCGTTTACTTTATATAGTTGGCGACTATTATTTTCTAAATGCCTTTTCAATATTTTGCTGCAAAAATAAAAAAAAAAATCATACTTGCAATTAATTTCTACTAACATAATATTTTGTTTTATAATACTTACTTGAATATAAATTTGACTTGTTTTTAATGTAGATCTAAACTATTGTTTAAAAATACATTATATCGATTTTTAGTTATATAGAAAATTACAGACGCACCAAGTAAAACAGAGTTACTATTTAATGGAAGAAAAACTTTAAAACGTCAATGCCGCAAGCATCAAAAAAGCAGCTATACACAAATATGACACAGAATACACTCTCCATACTCTCCATACTATACGCTCTCAATTTAGATTTGGGAACGGTATGGGAAAAATAGAACATGAAAAACATATTGTATGTTCCGTTTAACAATTGTAATCTCTCAGCAGTTTGAAACTTCTTAACTACTTTCAAATTAAATCTTATGTAATTTAAATGTTATTATAACTTATAATAATTACTCTATAATTTTATAATGTACATGATTTAGTTATATTGAAATATGAATATACAGTTTTCGAAATTTTCGAACGTAATTTTATATGTAATTGTTAGTTTTAATTCCTTTTATTATTCTTTGGTTACCGGCAAGAAATTTCATTCTTATTTGTATTAGGCAAACAATACTTGTACTTGTAATTTCTATAATTAAGTATTCTTTGGTATTAGGTCTGTATTCATATGAACTTGTAAAAAAATTCAATCTATTTAAATTTAATTATTTTGTATTCCCGAATATAAAAATTCGTACGAAGAGAGAGTTTATGAAAGCTAATTGTCAATTCGTATTGTACAAATCTTATTTCTTTTGATAAATTTGTTTAAATAATTTATAAGGCATATTTTGGCAAGATTCCTATAATCGAAAAGAAATAACTATTATATTCGAAATTTGTTTACAAACAAACATTTAAATATGTTAGAGAAAAGGTGAACATTTGTAAAAATTTTTGCCAAAAATATCTAGTCATTGTAGACGCAAGATAAGATTGAAATATTGCTGATCAGTTATCATCCTATTCTTAACATGGTCAACACATACTTTTGAAAAATTAAAATAAAATAAATCATTGTTAAAATTAAAATGAAATATAAAAGAAAAAATGCGTAAAATTTAAAAAACGTTATTTCTCACTCCAACAAAAGTAGCTAGTTTAGTAAATATTTACTTGACAGCATTTCCGTACCTTGTGTAGCTGGGTATATATATTAGTTAACCTTTGATAAGATTTTTAAGTTCGAATGCAAATATAAAACTGTAAAAATGTGAAGCATACATACTAATTTTTAGATCATACCATTAACAATCTTGTGTGTGTTATCAGAAGAACAGCGAATATCTATACTTTTTTAAATTTCTCTAAGTGATTGTAATTTTTACTGACTTCACATTCCCGTATGTTTGTTAGCAATTGAAAATATTTTATATGTTTTTAGATAACATCTTCAGAGATTGTTTTAAATATTTGTTTAATATATGATGTACATTTGATTTTTTTTTACAATTTTTGTAAAAACCACAAAAGTATTATTTTAATCTATTCCTTAAACATAACATACAATAACATATAATAATTATTTACCCATGGTACAATTGAAAGTATTCGAAAATCATGTTTGACAGAATGCATAAAAGTGTAAACAATACATAGATTATTACTGTCAAACAATGTTTGCAAGGGAGAGTGCATAAGAGAGCATGTCAAATTATATTAATATTTGTGATAATTATTATATTATTAACTTTTATCAAATATATTTTAGTATTTATTTTGTTGTGTAAAATTTATAATAGAAAATTAAAATTATTTGAACATGAATATTAATCTTCCAATACGACATATAAACATTTTTGAAAAACATTCAAAGCAGAAATGTATCCTTCCCCAAAAGTCTTTTCCGATAAATGTGTTACCAGGTTCTGTGGCTAAATGCAACGAATTTATTTGCCAAATATATTCAAAAAATTTCATATCAGACATCTGCTATATGGATGATTGCTGTATTGAATATTATAATAATTCCTTATTACACGAAAACTCAAAAGTTCTAACAAAGTTGGTTATCCTTAAGAAACGTCAAGCATCAGCAATAAATTTAATCATCGAAATTACAGAAAATTTTCTTTTGAATTGTTCTGAAAAAATAACTAATGAATATATTAAAAATATAACACTGCCAGTTTTATGGTCCTTAAAATTAGTTTCGCATTGCACAATACGAACAAGTAAACTCAAAAACATTGGAATCCAGTCGATTGAAGTGTCCAGTAATCAGGAACATAATCAAGATGTATATTTTGTTATTACAGAAATGACAAACTTAAATGTATTGGATATTCGTTTAAAAAATATATTATTAAAAGAAGTGAATTATTATTCACATGGATTTCAGACAGTTGATGAAGCTTTACAAAATATATTTAACATGTCGATGAAGACGGCTGAAATGAAGAGTAAAAGATACTTAGGCCCTTCGGCAAATGTTTTAATATCAGGGCCATCAGGATGTGGAAAAAGTTGTTTGGTGTTTGAATTCATTAAAAAAAATAATTGCAATTATTTTATTATAACAAATAATTTATTGCAAAGACAACAATACCCGGGACAAGCAGAATATACAATACGTGGCATTTTCGAAGCTGTCAATAAATTTATTAGCTTAAAACCAAAGTGTATGATAAAATTATCTTTAAAAAATCATTTACTAATGTTTTTATAAATTGTAGTACCTACAATAATTTGCTTTGAAAACATACAGTTACTCTGTCCTGTAATAAAAAGGTCTTCAACTAATGATGCAACAGGTCTAATGAGAATTATCGGAGAAGTAGCATATCAACTTGATGAAGTTTTTAGAAGTAAAAATGAAATATTATGTGTTGCTACTACACCTTCTCTAGAAGAAGTTAATCCTATTTTACGATGTGCAGGTCGATTTCAACATGAATTATCTATTAAAATGCTTACAAAAAAAGAGCGTTATCATTTGATTGAATCGTTTATAAAACACAGCAAACTACTTCAAAATTTAAATAAAGTCTTTCTTAAAGAGTTCGAATGTTTATGCGAAACTATTGCGAAATGCACACAAGGATTTGTAATAGCTGACATTATAAAGTTCTTTAAGAAATTCGAAAAATGCTTGATTTATACCGACAATGTGGAGATGTTAGCTATGGCAAAAAAATGTCTCATGGAGGTAGGTTTTAAAAAACTTTTTATGGAAACTATAATTTGCTTATTGATGTCAGGTGAAACCGGCGTCTACAATCAATGCGGACATTTCTGTTATTAAATCAAATCAAGGATTTAATGTAGTTGGTGGTATGAATGATTTAAAGCGTTTATTAGAAGTAACGATTTTAGCTGCGTTTCAACAACATAAGATATTTCACAAGTTTGGTTTACATCTTCCAAAAGGTAAATGCGATGAAACAATCAATTTTTTTATACTCTACACACAATAAAATGTTTTAGGAATACTCCTATATGGACCACCAGGTTGTGCAAAAACAACATTTGCAAAATGTCTAGCGCATGAAGCGAATATGTCTTTTATTGCTGTTTCAAGTGCAGAAGTTTACTCACCATATGTCGGATGCGCTGAAAAATTTATTAGTAAAATATTTGACATTGCTAGAAAGCATTCACCTTGTTTAATATTCTTAGACGAAATTGGTATATATTTTTATTGTTTTAATATTTTTAAAAATTCATTGTATTTTATTTTTTGTAAAGATTCGCTAGTTGGGCGACGTGATGGTTCCTCAGCTGATGTTCAAACTCGAATATTATCAACATTATTGACTGAATTAGATGGAATTATAGATAATTTAAAAAATGGTTTTAAAGACAAGCAAATTCTTGTTATTGCTGCCACTAATCGTCCGGAAATGGTGGACGGTGCGTTAATGCGACCTGGTCGTTTTGACAAATTAATTCATGTGCCCGCACCTGACTACGAATCACGCATATCAATCTTAAAATTACGAACTAAGAATATGCCTTTAGCAGCAGATGTTAGTTTAGATAATATAGCAATTAACACAAATAATTTTTCTGGAGCAGATATCTGTAATATCTGCAATGAAGCTGCTTATAAAGCATTAAGTAGAAATTTTAATACTGATGAAATAACTGACGATGATTTTGAATATGCTTTGCAAGCAAATCAATCCTCCTTATCAGAAGAAATAATTAATAAATATTATGACTTTGAGTCAAAATTTGTGAAATAATGTAATTTTTCAATCATTGAATTTTGAAGTTGCTGACTAAAATATTTTATAAATGTAATCTTAACCAGAAATCGTTTTAATTGTTAAGGTAATGATAGACAGTTTAAAGCAATGAAATGAAGTTTAGATGGACAATGTGCAATATAACTATTTTTAATATCTCATTGGGTTTCAGTAAGATGAAATACGCGAACGTTTTCGTAGATTAGTCCCAGCCAATATTCGCATATCAGCTCTGAACATCGATATTTGTAAAGCGGTAGATAACGCCATAAAAAATTGAGGACTACGTCTCTCGCGACAATCTTCGTGGATAAATCCCAGCCAATATTCGCATATCAGCTCTGAACAGCGATATTTGTAAAGTGGTGGATAACGCCGTTATAAATAGAAGACTACCGTCAAAACTTATAGCAATTTTGACGACTTTTGTCCAAAAAATCTCTGCTTTCATTGACCCTTGAAAATAGAAATACCCATTCTGGCGACACAACACAGTTTTTCCCTAACGATATGATGAATGGAACCAGGGTGGATAAGCCAAGGTTTTAAAAGCTTTAGTCTCTAATGGCAAGTCAGATAGCACTTAAGAGCCAGTTGCTGTGGTTGTTGTTTTTGTAGACCGCCGGGATCTGAAAAGCAGATAACATGTAAGAATTACAAGACTAATACATGGATAGGGAAGTGGATGGGTGGAGTTAGAGTTAAGGGATAATAGAAAGCGTAGGAGCCAGTAGCCTGACTGTCTTATCTCGTATTATAAACACATCGATTTATTCGTACATCGTTCCATATATATAGAACACTGGCGGACTAATATGGTACCACCATGTATTCTGGCGACAGAAAGTAAATACTATTGGCGATTTCTTAACTAACTTCAATAGTAATACGAGTAGGATCCTACACCTTAGACCTTACACCAACATAATCTTTAGCCAACATATTGAGCTTATCTTTATATATAACATTTTATACTTAGATTTTTTAATATTGTTTTGCTAATTTATGATGTTTTACTTTTAATTAAAAATGTTAAAATGTTCAATAGGTAATGATACTTTTTTCCTACAAACTAGTCTTTTTGCTATTCATATACGCGATGGTCTCTTCCCTAAAAGTGTGTCTGAAGCAATGTTCATTTCCTCTTTAAATGGAAATAAGGTTCGTAGAATAATGTGATTGATCAAAAAGGTATGTGCGGCTTATTTTCAGACAGTCTTTTACAATAAATGAATATATATTATAAATTTTAATGAAATTTCTTTTTATTAACTGATTTAAGAATGTTGAGCAGAATTTCAATGATATTTTATTCCGTTATTGTACTAAGATATTGTTCCTAACATGTTATAAATAAATCGTTAAAATAAGTGGCTTCTTTTTATGCTTCCTGGCTAAGCATTCGAACCTGTAACTCATTTGATATACAATAACTTTTCTTTGAATGCGTAATGAGTTAATATGATTAAAAAGTGTTTCAATTAGTTTTGTAGTGGTTTTATAAGATTTCACTATGTTTAATTAAGTTGATCGTTTATTTAGTATAAAAAAATTATTTATTTTATTTATTTATTTATATGTGTTTATTTGTATGTGTATATGATTATCATTTAAATATTCATAACTCATACAGTCACGGGAATACCTCCATTATTCAGTTTGCATATAAAATATCTGAGTAAAAACTCTCTTTTTCTTTGTGAGACAAAAATAAAAATCCAAATCAATATGGACTCATATCAGAAAAGAACTTGTTTTGAAACCAACTGTCATGTACTTGACACATAATGTACCATGCTGACGGAGAACATATACTGTACAAGTTCTCTCTGCGCCTCATTTTTAGTCATACTTCACTTGTGTTTAAAGCAAGTTAGTGACAGTTGATATGTCAAAGTATTTTTGTAGTGTTTTTTTTATTTGAGATTAGAGGAATTGTTTCTATTTTATAGAATTGAATGGTTATATAGTTCCACTGTTTACAGCTAATTTTTTCGTCACAAAATCTGCTGTTTTGTTCTGAAAATGGTAATTCCTATTGCAATAAAAACAAAACAAACGAATTTTAAATGTATATTGCAAATATTTCAACGCGGTAGACATTTTATGTGCTAGTTATGAACCTGAAATAATAATGCAGTGTTTTGATTTTAATAAGCAATGTTTATAGTTTATAACTAAACATATAAAAATATTTTCAAAAATGAATATTATTGGTCGTAATAGTTTAATTTTATAAATTAAATTAATAGTACAATAATACATTGCATATTTATTATAATACATTAGTAATACTAAGTTGATACTTTTAATTTTAGGACAAAAAATCTGGTTATATTGATGTTGATAGAATTGTGGTTGAACCCAGCCCGCTACGGATTCGAAATATTTTAACTCTTGAGGAACGCGTGCGTGCAATACAAGCCTATGATTGTCGTCCAATGTATACCAAAGTAGCCAAAATGTTCAACTGTAGTTGGGAACAAATAAAAAATATAATTACGAATCGGGATGCAATAATACGGTTCTATGAAGCAACAAAAAATACGGATAAAGCAAATGATCCGAATTTAGATGATATTCGACAAAGTAAAATTTCATTTTTGGGTAAATGTTTATATGAGTACATTCAACGTGCACAATTGTATAAAAAAACTGACCTTTCTGAAGACCTTCTTCGCACAAAAGCTTTGGAGTTTCGCGACTTAATACAAATAGATCATTTTACACCGAATAAAGCTTGGATTAATCATTTTAAGGCAACATACAACTTTTCTCTTTCAAACCGGCAAATAATGCTAACTCGGATACCACCATCATCGATGGACTTGAAGGATATTATGATGTATTGCTCAAAAAACAAATCTAAAGGTGAAAAACAAAAACATATGCGTTCCGAACAATTTCTTAATAAAAATAAAAAAATTGCTTCGGCTAACAAGTGTTTAACAACAGAATTCGTAGGAATGCGTAAAATAAGTTTTTTAGAAAAATCACTATTGGAATACATACGACGCATCCAATATCATCCAAAAACGTCTTTAAACGACGATTTATTATTAAAAACTGCTTGTCACTTTAGAGATTTGCTTAAAATCGACAATTTTGTGCCGAATAGAAGATGGTTTGATAACTTTAAGAAAAAATATAACATAAGTTTTTCTAAAAATACTAATTCAACACAAGTAAAATCTCACATTACTTTAGATTTACGAGACATTTTAAGCTACTGCAGTCGTTCTAACAAGAATGAACAATCACATAACCTGAGTATGTTAGAGGCAAAGTCCAGTGATTTATCAAATTCTGGGAAAATGTTAAATTATACATACACTTCCGGAGATTTAATTGAACAGGCCAGTTCAGATATTTTTTCGACCGAATGCAATGATGATGTCAAACCTATTATTATAGACTTGGAAGATGCAAACAGTTCTCAAAAAGAAGAAACCGCGCCATCACTAAAAAGACGAAGAATTGATATAGCTTCTCACTCTAGTACAAACTCACATGAATGTATGACAGAGGATGAGCTACCAAAACGGATAATGAACTATAACGATGCCTTAAAATATCTTCAACCTATAGAGGAATTTATAATGTTACAAGAAAACTATCGCGCTATTTCCTTAGTAACACAATTGGAGGAAATATTTAAAAACCCACCGAAAAATGACAATGCATCAGATTTTTCAGACACCTCTAGTGATTAAGAAACTTTTTGATATATAAACTAGAATCATATCTTACTCTTGTACATTTTGTTTTATATGTATAATATAATAAAATTTACATATTCTATATATATATATATGAATATTACATAAATATATATATATATATATATATATATATATATATATAAATATTTCGATATATATATATAAATATATCTATATATACATATAAATATTTCTTTAAATATTTATATATACATAACATATATATATAAATACTCTAACATAAGTATGTACTGAAATTTTTATAAACTCCTAACATTAAAAACGATAAAAAATTTAAATTTCACAAATTTTTAAAAAATATTGTGAAAATTTCTTGTAAAATTTGTAAGCTCGAAAATTGTAAAGTATTAATTTTAATGATGCACATAAATTTTGCTTCTGTGTTGCAGATTTATTCATAATTTTTTATTATAAATATTTTTTTACAAAAAATTAATGTTATATATAGGAAATAAAATAAGTATTCAAGACACATGATTAAATAAATTATAAGTTTACTGTGTAAAATGTATTATTTTGTTTCTAATTTATGCTTCAATTGTAACAATATTTGTTTGTTTACCATTTTGAACTACTAATCAGAGTTACATCATTAATGATTGTCAGGTGTATCAGAATCAGATATCAGATTGACAGCTTAGAATAAGAATGTGTCACGAAGCTCATGGGAGTAAGGTAACAGATGAATAAAAGCAGATGAACTTACAAAGCAAGGATCAAGCCATAACTTCTGCGGCCCAGAACCCAAAATACCTTTGGGCTACCACATGATGGTAGCCTATGTCGATAAGTGGATAACTTCACTTCATCTTAACAAATCTTAATTCCAAAACAGCGGATTGGAGCATGCTGAGTACAATACAGAGATACTTTTAATCCACAGTTTCTCATCTTGCATATCTTAGAGACATTCTAGATTGTAGGCTATGTTTCAGAACACAGTTTATTGTAACCGGAGAAAAAGCTTCTTGAGTTTCAAATATAAAAAGATACCCCCGAGTTCTTTCTCACTTCCAAACGTTAGAGTGGACACATTAACCAATTTCAAATAAATATTTGAGTAATCGAATAATTGAAGATTTGGGATTTTACATGATATGATGTAGTTTATAATAAGCACTGATGAAGTTCTTAAATAAAGAACGAAATATTTGCCAACATTTTTAAATAAATGCGTTTAATTGTTCGGGTCTGTAAGCTGATAAGAATCAAAATACAAAACAAAAAATATTTTACATGATACACTTCCTAACTGGGTAGAGTTGTTTCGTACCTCTTTTACTTGCTAGGAGATACTTTTCATGTAATAGAAATCCTCCTGACATCTTTTTGGTAAACCCTCTCGCAAACATGCTGCTTGCAGAAGAGCTTACTCTCTTCCGCCTCGCATTTTGCTCTATAACCAAGGCTTCCATAATCGCGAACATAAAGTTTACTCTTAGCTAAACGCTTTCGCAAGTTTGCGTAAACCCCGCCTCCTTCACTTGTAATCCCATCACCTCGTACTGAATATGTCTATATTCGGCTTTGATAAATTTAGCTCGCTAAACACTGTGCCCTTCTACCCACACGGTGGCTTTTGATGCTTTCCATCTATACTAAAGCCTATTTCAGATTTACAAAAAAGTATCTAAGGTGTACCAAAGGACTTTAAATAAAATAAATTACTTAAGTTTAATAAAAAAAAAAAAAAAAGAAAATGGGTATATCAAATAGAATGTTCAAAAAATTAATATCTTAATTTTAGTTAATTAATCAACTATTCATAGAATGTTCAAAAAATTAATATCTTAATTTTAGTTAATAAAACAACTATTCATTACATGTCCTAAATAGTACAGTAGTATTATTTTGGATACTAGTATTGTTTTTCGTTATTTTTGATTGAAGGTAGTAAAATACAACTGGACATACATATATATATATGTATATAAATTAAAAATTAATTTGTTTTACGTTCTATTCCTTATTATAATAAAAAAAGTATCATAATAAAATAAAGTTAAAATATACAATTACGATAAATAAACAAATAGAAATGAAATTTTAATATGTTGACGCATTAATATTTAAGTGATTAGGATTAAGGTTTAAATTTAAATATAAATACATAAGTATGTACATATATAGGAATAAAAAACATGTTAAATTTTTCAATACTTTTTATTAGTTTTATATCGTTAACGGTTCAAAATTTTTTCAAATTTCTCCTCAGTTAGAACGTCGTTAGGCCGTGTGCGAGTCGAAGTAAATTAAGGGAAATAGTAAATTATGTCGGTGTGGCAGCGAATGTTGGTATTTTCTAGAATTTCGAATAGGGTAAATTAGATAAAAGTTAGGTAAATTAGATATTACCATTGTGAAAATTTTAAGAAATGTTTATTAAATAAATAAATAAATTTGAAAACTTTTAACCAAAAATAATAAATAAATGCAATAAATAAATAAATATTTACATAAGTGCAGTGCGAAAAATCCCTACGAAATTTCAATTTACTCGAACTCTCACACGGACTTAATATCGAATATAATGACTTATACATATATAGAATAAAACTTTAAAAATATTGCTTAAAATCGACATAAAAGTAAACAATTATATTAAAAAACATGTAGAGAAAATTCTCTTTTGAAGATAAACGAAAATAAAGCCGATCAAAATAGCTTGTGAAGTAGAATATTAAATACATTTTTCGCTTAATTTTTTTTTAATTAGGCAACATTTATCAGCGAAATGTTTGGTTTGTAAATGCTTTGCTTGGCCACAATTATAATAATAAGAACAGAGAAAAAATGGTTCATATGTGCTTTAAAATTGTTAAGCAATGTACAAAGTTTTTTTTTGTGATACCAATCGTTATTTACCAAATTTGAGGTTGGTACATAAATTCTGTTTATTATAAATAATCATACAAACGTTTCTAATATTAGTGCCTAGTTTAAGAGATAAGAGTTGACATGCGCACAGTTGCAATTTCTTTGTTCGCAAGAAGTGTTGTTGTTGGGTAGGGTGTTTTATACATTAAGAATGTTTGTAATTATGTGCGTGCGTCAACTGAAAAGGTCTTGAACATTGAATATAGTTTTAATAAAATATGATAAACATTGCATAGGTACACATCTACGTGTGTAATAATAGAAATCGCACCAGAAAGGGTAGCGGGAAAATGTGCTGAATATGCGCACCGCTTATACTTACGTAAATGTGTATATGCAGGCGATAAAGAAACGTTACGCTTGCGAGAGAAAATTGTTTCATTCCAGTTGTGCATTAACTTCAGTGCGAAGTATTTTGAAATATCGTGTCATATAATTATTGTAGTTTATCAAGAGAAGAAAACGTAAAAACAAATTTGTCATCCAATGTGAAAAGTTTTAGTGCATTTAAAATTATTTTATAAAAATATTGTTTACTAGAACTTTTCAAAATAAAGTCTACATTATTGCAACCAATTAATAACCGTCTGAAAATGAGAGAAAAAAATAAAAAAGAGGCTATATCAACGGTAAGGAAAACATGCGTGTTAAAAATAAATACATACATTATATTACATGTAATATAATGGCTATTAGACTTATTATTTACAAAAGTATGTCCAAATTGTCAGCGTCTGACAATTGGCTGTACTATTTTCTAAATACAAAATTAGCCTTATATTCTACATAAAAAAAAAAGTTATTGTCATTCGTTTTATTTAAATATTTATAAAACCTGATTTATAAATAACAAAAATACTAGAAATGCAGACTTCCACTCTGCCACCCTCACTGATCTTCTGGGTTTACAACAAAAAATTATTTCCTACCTTAAGTCGTGAGTCTACAGATAGACTTCTTTAAAATTGAAAAAATAAATTGTTATATATGTTTTGAGCATAAAACTGCTACTCTGACAATGAATTCAAGAATGTACGGACTTAGTACTTGTGTAAAATATATTTATTCATTGATTTCGATTTCTGTGATTAAACGTATTAATTACAATCGTGAGGGGAATTAAATACATTCTCAACAGAGAGTGACAATAACATCACTCGATAAGGCTTACGACGGATTGTTACAAAATGGGAAACCACTTTAGAAAGTAAGCGAAGGGAACCATCGTTATCATTTAAGTTTAAAACGATTCAGATCAGATACTCCGTAATGACATTGTCATCATCAGAATAATGTAATTGCTTATTATGTAGATGATAGAAAGTAATTCCATATATTGAACTGTAAAAGCTTATTCGTGCTTTTAAAAAAATTATATTTATTATTTAATGTTTTCTATTATATTTGGAATTTTACTTTGAACTTTACAATTTTACAAATTAATAAGAAAATTTGTATTTATTTTTCAGAGTCTTCAAAATGAGAAAATGCTTTTCGATAATCGTATAAAACGTAAAAATGTCTTAGCCCTCAACGAGAAAGTAGCTGCTATTCGAGAGTATGAAAAAATGCCTGTGTATAAACGTATTGGACGTATGTTTCATTGCAGTCCTGATCAAATTAAACGCATTGTTCAACAGAAAGAATCCATTCTAAAAGCTTGGGAGCAGCGAACAAGACGCTGTCATGATGCAAAGAAATTAGAATTGAAAGTATTTCGTGCGTCAATGTTGGGAAAGGCAGTTTTTGAATGGGTACAACGCATGATGTATTACAAAGATCTTACCATAACTGATGGCTTAATACAAAAGATGGCATTGCAATTTAAAAGTGCTATGGGGTTAAATAATTTTTTCCCTCATCAAGAGTGGTGCGATAAATTTCGTATGCGTTATAAAATTTTTGAAAATGATAGTAAGCTTTTAAATATAGGATATTCACAAGGACATTCTGTACAAATAAAAGATATAATTAAGGATATTTTAAGTGATTGTAACAAAAGTGATAATGAAGATGAAAATCAACAAGGTAAAATTAAAAATGTACCCCAAAAAGAACTTAATCGAAAGAGTTATATGGATAAGATATCAAATAAAACATCAATTCCGTCCGGCGATCTTCTTAATTTGCAGAGTTCACATAAAAGTGAGAACCATCTACTACGGCAAATAGTTGCATTACCAGTGCAAACGAATAGTACAGGTCTTACCCAAAAAGTTTTAGTAGCAACACCGTTACAAACTTCTAAAACATTGTCCAGTTCGAGTCCAATGACAATGACTATTATTCCATTGACAACGATTTCTCAAGCGCAAAGTTCCGAAAAAGTTTTTATGCCTCCTCCTATTTTGGATATAAAAGAAGAAATTAAACAAGAACCTGAAGAGATAAATATTAAACAAGAATGTGTATCTGATGACGAAAGTAGGGAAAACGAAAGTGAAGCATATACGAACAATGAAAACTCTTTTTTTTGTAATATTAATTTGTCTGATCAAGGTGAATTAAGCAACAAAACATTAAATTCTAATGATCTACCTAATGTTTCTATTAAATCTGCTCGAAACAAATCAAAAAAATGTGACTCTAACGAGGCAAACGCAATTGAGACTGAAAAAAATGATTCCATTTCAGTTCCATTACCTCCTCAATCTTTACAAACAACTGAAGGGACAGCTGGACGTACCTTAAGAAAGAGAAAACAAGAGTGCACGCTTGATTCAAATCTTCCAGCTATTAAAAATTGTAGAGAAGCTCGTCAATATCTTAAATTGATAGAAGATTTCGCTTTAGTTAGAGAAAATTTCAGATTAATTGGATTAATCACAAGAGCAGACGAAGTCTTACGCGAATTACATGATTCCGATGATATCGATAATGACTAAAAGCATTCGATTATCATAAATGAATTCTAGTAATTGTGCAATAATTTTTAAAAAAAACCATATCTTATTTTGTATAACCAAAGATTCTGATTAAAATCAAACCAAATATGGAAACTTATGTGATGGAAGTAAATGTTATCATATATCATGCATATATGTTACAAATAAATGTATATATATTTTATAAGTACAAAATCCTACTTGTAGTTTGTTATTTTTCTTTTTTCATAAAAATGTTTTTTAATTTTATATATAATTCTAATATAAATTTTTTTTAATAATTCATACACTTAAAGTCAATAACTTATATTAATGTAGAAATAATCCCAAAATGTATCTTGAAAAAGCTATATAAAACTAATTATAGATTCTACGAATCATCTGACAGTGTTGGTAAATAACTGATATACTAATTATTCTTTTATATAAGTGCATGTTTTAAACATGATATAAAATGTTCAAAGATATTTAAACAATATTGATATCATTTTTGTTGTCTTGAGTTTTTTAAATAATACTCGTAATAGCTTATGTTCTACATTTCTTAGTTTCCATAAAAAATCTAAAGAGATTGAGTTGAAAAGAGTTCTAGTATAATTGTATTATATCTTAATTTCTCTTAAATAAACTAGGTTGCGGTATTACCGTGTGTGGATTAGGTCAAATTAACTTCAATATTCCAATGTCCTAATATGATTTTAAGTCGTTTGTTATATTTTGAAAAATTTACAACATAATTTAGTTGTATATTTTGTTTATCAACATATATTTTTCTTTTACATGAACTTTTACATGAAGATCATTTAAATACAAAGGAAAGAACTATAGAGATATGAGACTGACTTGTTGCACTCAAAACCACATGCTTCATGGTAACTCGATAATACCCTTGTATCCAACGATCCATTTTTTTACCGCAAACATTGTGTAGATTTGTAACGGGCATCATGTAGGATATCATTTTTCGTGAATACGAAGTATTTGAAACTTTATTCCTAAGATGTCCTCCAACTCCAACTTTTCAAATTGTAGAGTCCCCAAAAATTTTAAACATAAACATAGCAGATGTTTCAAAGTCTCTTTTTTCTTGGCTATCTGTATTTGTTTCTTCGACACTATACGTAATTCCTGTTAGCATGTCTATGATAGTTATGCAGTGCTCTTACAAGTCGAATTTGACTTTTCCACATGAGAACATATGGTATACGTCCTGGTTCTCTAAAATAACACTAGAAAGATTTGATTTCTTTAGTTTTATTAAAAATCGTGTACTAAAATAATTGAATAATTTTTGTTTTTATGTATAGTTTTTTAAGTACAGTTTTCTGCCCTCGTAAACGTTCCCCATTTCAGCATTTATTGAATTGACTATGTTTCGAAAAGCTACATGCCATAAACTATTAGAATTAATTGTCTTCTTATTGTTAATAAGTCTGTTAAAATAAACCAAAGATTCATACCGATGTAAATATGTTATGTTAATATTATATTATGAATAATTATTACCTTTGCAGATATGTTAAAAACACGTACAGCTTATCAATTTGCTTGGACCGTACAAATTCAGCCGCATGTTCACTTATCAAATTAACATCATATGATTCAGGCTTTTCCCCACTTTTTACCCAGGCTAGTAATAACTGAGTACAATTCTGTTGAGCAAATATGTTTTCAATGTGTAATTCGCTTTTAGTTTTTTTTGGTTCAGTAGAGTTTGATTCACAAAACTTAGTTTCTGAAGTCCGAATAGTGTCACATTTTAAAGTATTGTTCGAATTATATGTATGACTAGGTGTACTATAAGATATTTCACGCAAAATTTCTTCTTGAATAGAACTTGGTAGTTCTGAAAAAGTTAAGGGATCTATATGTGGAGGTAACATATTTATATCACACGGTTTTAACAAAGCTTTTTTTTTGTTTGCAGATTCTGGAAGATTTTTCGCATTATTTTGGTTTTTCAATAATTTCCTTTTGCGATTTAAATGATTGTCTTGCTCTTTCTTAGGTTCTATTGAAACCAAATTCGGTGTTTTTGGACATGTTTTTGATGTGACATTTAATTTTGCTGAAAATGAAAAATTTTTATTTCATGTTACATTGATATGAAATGTCATTTTTTTTTACCTTTTTCGGATAGTTTCTGAAACATATTTTTAATAATATTTTCCGATGGCGTTTTGTCATCTGTTTGGCCATCTAATTTGGTTAGCTGTATGCCTATACCTCTAAGTTCATTGGGAGATATTGATAAAGCTTTCATGGTGGTAAGGATTGTCTGTGTTATTGTTTTTAAATCATTAGTAAAAGCGGATAATGACACGGATTTCGTAATATTATCGCAGACTCCATGACCCATAAACTTTGATGTTTCAATCGGTGCATCTTTCGCACGTACCATAACCTTTAATGTAATACATTTACTTTTACGATTAATGGCTATAAGACGCGAATGGATCTCTGAGCAAAGCTGACGTAAGAAATTATCTACTTCAGAATATTCTGTAAAACGTATACCGTAATTAACTTCAGCCGATACTGACTTACGTATCTATAGATATTGAAAATTGTTATTGTTTTAAACTACCTATTATTTTCTCAAACCTGCTCATATATTAACTGACGGTTATCAATGCCACGGCAAAACTGATATAGAGTTTCACCAAATTTTTTACCAACATGTTTCTGTATAGTTTGTAAAGAAATTTCTTGTAAATGACCGCATGTCAATAAATTCACTTTTTCCAGCGTATAATTCGTGCAGCTCCCAACGCCAGGAAGGTCTTTAATTAATATGTTTGTCATATAAGTTTTAACATCTTTAGCTTCCAAATAATATTGACCATCTGGCTTTGCAGATTTTGTTGCCATTCTTGCCTGAAGTCTAAAAAAAACTGTTATACATATGAATTTAAAAGCATTTCACATTTTACTTATTTGCTCCTATCCCCGCAGAACATGGACAGCCAGTTTTTTGCTTAATTTCGTTTCTTATTTCCTGTACAAATTCCATGGGAGATGCTTTTATTTCCTTTAAAATATCAACCAAATCAACAAACATTTCATCACAACTAACAGCTTCAATATTTAATGTATACTGAGTTATTGTGTTATATAAAGTATATGCGACTTCTTTGTAAGCATCAAAATCGTATGGAATGGTTTTTAATTCTGGACAAAGCTGTAACGCGTGTCCAACGAACATGCCATTATGCAAACCCTTTTTACGTGCTTCGTAACTACACGATGCTATTTCTGACAAGGACATTTTCGAATCAAATCCATTACGTACTTTATCACTGAGTATATTGTTATGTAAGTGTTTTTCGAATCGTTGTGTGAACAGTTCTGCTTCTAACTTGCGATTAGAATCAGGGTGTATTTGGATATCCATTGCATTTGACCCACCTAAAAAATCAAGAACTTTATAAATAACTTTTCTTACAACTTTAATTTCGCTTGCGGAATTATTACCTTTAGAATGCGTTACTGCTACTGGCTGACCACGTAAATGTGGATGCTTTTTCAAACCTACTGATACAAAAAAGCAATCTATATCAATGTGCATTATGCAAGAAACTAACTTTTCATTTTCTTGGTCTTCTGGTAATTTTCGTTGCAAAAGCAATTTCTCTTTTAAAGTGTTGCGGGCTGGAAAAACTTTGTTCTTATGATTCTCTCTTAGAGTACTTATGTATTGTTTAAATCCTGCGCCCAACGTTGCAATGTGGTGTAAACGAGAGTTATTATAAAACTCTGCTAAAAATTTTGGATCTACAGCACTTCGAGCAGTCACAGTATTTTCACTCTCAGTTTTGTTAATTATGTTATCGTTGAGATTGTTGCAATTAATTGATGATGGATTTTTATGTACGTTTTGTATTGTGCTATTTATTCTACTTGACATATTCATTTTTTTATTACAGTTTCTTTGCGAATCAACATTCAGTTTAGGAAACGGCAAGCTTGGTTGCGATGTTTTCTGATTTGTACATAGTAAATATGGTGTGTAGTCTAAGATCCGTTTTTCTTTAATACAATCTACTACCCACTGGGGTTTGATTACTTTGCTGGTATTCATATTACGAACTTTAACATCTGGTAGATTAGAAGCTATGATAAATGTTGTATGAGACCGTTCATAGTGATGAAATATTCCTCCATGAACCATCATAATTTGCTTTATTTCGTTTGATGAAGGGTTCGTTAAGCCATTGACAAAAACAGATATACCGGAAAATAGATTGCTTTGTTTAAAGGGATTGCTAGCTGTATTAAATTGTTCCTCAAGTTTGGTTATTTTTGCTTCCATATACCCGCCCTATTGATTTAAAAAAATATAATTAAATAATTAAAAGTTTTTAAATGCTTATTACCCATTCATCAAATCCATTATTTATTTCGCGTGACATTTTCTAAAAGCTGACAATTTTTATGTCACATTCAATTCTAAGTTTTTTATTCTTTAAAATAATATCATCAAAATATTAAAATTTATTAAATAAAATTAAAGTCTATGAAGAGTTACCATCACAATATAAGTATTCTTGGGTTACCACTTTATTTTATAATCGTTCATAGTTATGTTTTAGCGATAATCTGATTAGTGAAAATGGGAAATATTTCATGTATTTTTGTATAATGAACTTGCATCCAATTTTAATGTTTCTTTTATTACGTTTACATTGTGAGATTAAGAGAACTAGATTAAGTTAATCTGCATTGGCGATTAATTTCGACATTTCTCTTGTTATGTTTTGTTTCCTGTGTTTGATAAATTTCTGTTAACAAAGCATTTAATAACAACTTTGTTCCAAAAAATTGTAATATAAATTTACTAAATAGTTTTATAACAATAATTTAACAAATTTTAGTTATAATTATGTACAAAACTATTATTAAACAAATTTAATAAAACTTCACTCACTTCGACATTTGCAAATTTGCAATGTTCATTTCAAATAAATTTTGACTTTCCTCTTCCAATTCTTCTAGTATCGTAAAAAATCTATAATATGAAAACATTTCCACAGTTGCACAGAAAATAATCATTATTTCGAAGGAGATTTAAAATTAATCTCGATCAGACCAAGAGTAACTATTGTATGGGGAATCTGAAATTAAACAACAAGATTAGTTCTTTAATCTCGATTATTGCTTTAATCTCCTTTTAATCTCACAATTTTAACGCCGTATTAGCGAACACAATTAACAAAACAAGTTCGATTGAAGCTGTGCGCTCTAAAACCCTTACATTATTCGCAATAGTACACATGTTTGTCTATCAAGTTTTATAATATCAAATTTGCTTACCAATCGACTCGGTAGACAAATGTCTATTGTTTATCGGTAAAAGTTTAATAATAGCCACTAATATCAATCTGATGAATAAGCAATTGATTTACATCTGCAATACAATAATAAAACGGAATCAATAAAAAATATTGTGGGCAATGTGACTTTTTTATATGAGTTTAACACGCTTAAATGTCTGATCATCATAAGCTCGTTTCAGCAAATAATTGTCTGATCTAAGAACATCAAAAACAACAACAATACAGAGAATTAGAAATTTTTCTGATTCAAAGTAAAAGTGAAATAAAATTAATATATCGTTGGTACAAAGTTATGGTAGGATGCTTTAAGAATATATATCGAGATACAAATGAAAGCTGAAGTCGTCAACAACAAGGTAAAACAACAGTTGGCAAATATGTTGTGTTACCAATTACTTTAATGTTGTTTCAGTAAAGAATACCTTCGATAATCGTTGATCCAGATAATTATTTGCTGACACACCTAGCTAATGAAGATCATAATAAGTTTGAAGTAAATCACATAATTCAAAATTGTTGAGAGAACTAATTTTATTTTATGTATTAAACATTTTTATTTATTAATTGCAAATATTTGGCTTGGTTGAAAATTTGCTTCAACATTAGTCGCATCCGAATAATTTAGTCTCAAATGTTTTGAGTAAAGGATGCATTTTTTTTATTGCGTAGTTCGATGACACGTAATTCTTTTAGGATTTCAACGTCCTAAACAGCTACCGCTTTTTTTTTGCAACTAGATTGTACGCCATAACTGGCAAGGAGCACATGTCTTGCACCATCGATTTCCTTAATGAACGAACAATTAGTAATCTCATTTTTAATTTTACCTGACTTTTACTTATGCGTCCTTTTCAAATACATTAATAATGATTGTAAAAAGTTGGTGATCTATTTAATTATACTAGCAATAATAAAATTTTAGATATTTTGAATTTTAGGATAAACAAAATATACTTACATTTTATACTTTCTATTCATATATTTTTAAAGATGCTTTTTATATATTCAAATAAATTGTTGATGATTTATTAAGACTATACATAATCTTATTCTGATAAAGTTATAAAGATAAAGCATAGAAAATGTGCGAAATGCATAAAAATCAAATTCAATATTGGCTTAATACGTCAGTTCAGTTTTAAAAGGAATTTTTTTGATCTCAATTTAATTTTAACAGTCAAAAATTTGCTCTGCATCCATAAATTCTTGTTTTTGTAGTGCTTCTGTCAGTTCTTGATCTTTCAGAGAAGATTTTTGTAAATCTGCTTGACCATTGTTTAATATGCATTCAGTAAATGGTAAAATTACGGGTGATGGAAAAGATTGCGTTTCTCCTAAAGCACCAGTAAATGTGTTTCCATTTTTTGACTGGTTTGTGTCTTTAACCCCCATTTCAATTGCTATGTGTTCCTTGCAAGGAACGTTTGGTTCTGTGTCGTTTAAATGGCGTTTTTTCTGTGTTAAAATATTATCATCTTTAACATTTTCTGTTGTCATTATATTTAATAAAACTTGACACATTTTTGCACGGAACTGTAAATTTTGATACTCATTCATTTTTTTCATTTGGGGTAAAAAGCTGATAAGAAAATTATAATCGGCATCACCAATATGGCAAATATTGTTGGTACTTCGTATTTCTTGACGCGTAGATTGCATTAGTTTCTGTTCTTCACGTTCTAACTTCTCTAAAAAATGTATCTGGTCATCACTACGTTTAGAACAGTTACAATTTTCATTTTCTATATTCGATTCATTAGGGTCGGTAGCAATTGCATTCGAAACTGATATACAATTAGAAAGACGCCTGGCAGCTTGAGGTGTAGCAACGGAATTAAACTTTTCGAACAGAAAATCATCATCTTCATCATTATCATCATCTGTGGAATGATATGATTCCAGTTTAACATCAAAGGGAGTAGTCACAACAGGATCTTCTTTAATGCAAATATCGTCTTTGGTGCCATGCTGTGTACGCTTGGTTTCACTCAAAAAACTCATTGGTTGAAAATATGCCCATTTGCTCAAAGCTTTCGTTGTATCATTTAAAATTTCTATATTCTTCAAACGCTCTGCACGACGCTCAGCTCTACGTACCTCTGCGCGATAAGTGTCTCTTAAATTCTTCCATTTCCGTTTACAACACTTAACTTTAATTAAAAATTTTTATTAATTTACCATCTAAACATATATACGAATAACTTTACTATCGACTCCAAATATATCAGCTATTTCTTGCCATTGCATTGGTATATTTAACCTGTCAGAATGGTCGGAAACTCTTCCATCCCAAATTGATGGACGATTTTTTACTTCAGCAATAAATCGCAGCACATCTATTCCACGTTCCATGTTTATATTGTGTTTTCGCTTAACTTTAATAAAATATTTCCATAGCACAATTTCTACAAAATATTTTGTTTGAAACAAATCCGTCTTCAAGTAGTTAAAAGTAGTTAGATTTATAAAAAGTAAATATTTTTATATATAGTATACTAGTACACTATAGTACAATATGCAGGAATACATACGAATATATGCATGAAAGTATAATACACGCAGTGTTGTAATTTGATCAAACTGTTGTATTTTAATATCTTATTTTACATGAATATGTTGTAAGTATTTATGCTTATTTATGCATATTTATATTTAAATAAGTAAATGAAAATAAAATAATACAATATGGTTGTAATGTAGATTTTATTTCCAAAGTAAAATATTATTAAAATAATAAAATATAAAATTTCTGTATTTCATATGCACATACATCAAATTTTTGAGTATGGTGAATACATAAAAGTAGGCGTTGTATCGTGTCTACAAACATGATTGTATAGCATATAGTAGTGCAAAATCCTTATGTTACTTTACCTTGATTGTATTATATTAGGTCTGTTCTACGAGCTACTCGTAGTAAAACTCAATTAAAACACAAGTAAAGTACAAACTGAGAGCGTAACAGAAATAAAGTGCCAAATTACGGTTTTTACACAAATTTTTATGGAACAGCTTTGTGTAAAATCTAGTGAGAACACCAGTGTCGCGCAAATATACAATACAAAAATTTAAATTCAAACCAAAACAGCTGATTCACATTCACACAAATTTTACTTAAAATAAAATGTACGAGTAAAACCTGTGTAGCATTTTCAAATTTCATTAGGGATGATGTTACGTTCTCTCAGATGCTCTCATTTATTCGAAAATTTGCTTGTGAAACGCACTAGTGTATACACAGTGTTACTCAAAGTTACTACGAGTATCTCGTGGAACAGACTTATTATTTCAATAAATATGTTTAAATTGTAATTAAATTAATTTTAACAATTAATTAATTTTATTTCTTTATATGAAAAAAGTACGAGTGATAAAAACTTTTTAAAAATAAATGCGTTACAATTTGCTTTATATGTGGTAGATACTTCCACGTATAGCGCTGTTTGACTGATAGGCGATTTTCACTTTTGGTACTTAAGTCCAAAAGTCAGTGCAATTTTATTTTTTTGCGGTAGGTGGAAATCATCGAAATCCGCAGTTTAAGACCTGAACCAATTAAAACTTCTTAGGAATGGATATATAAAAGATTACAACCACGTTAAACGATTAAAACCACATTGAAGTAATGAAGCGCGGAAAGGAGTGTAGATATATTTAGCATTTAGCAAGCTAAATTTATCAAAGCCAGAAAAGCATGGTTGAAATGATTTTGGGAGAGTATTTATAAATCTTTGGAAGGTGATTTTTAAATACCTTCCGTTTTCAAACGTGGTGTTCTAGTGTTGTTAATAACAATTTTTTATTACTCGTTTGTACTGGGATAGTAGGGGAAAAAAGACAAGTCAAGGGTTGTAAAGCATGATGATTGTCTTGTAATTGCTATGGGTGTTTATTGTTGCCTATTTTACTGCAGAGTACTTTCCAAGTCAAAAGGTAATAGGTTCTTCTCCTTAGAACCTTAGAATATAATTCGGTTTGACTAGTCGTAGATTTTTACTTCCGAGAACATGGTAATGTTTGGTTTTTGAACTTATTTACTATCACTAAAAAGTGGTTTAAGAAACAACTGCAACTGCAACTAGGCATGGGTAATGCCTAGGTTCATTAAAGATCTGAACAACTCTGCATTAAATTGTGTGTCTTGCATAGAAATTGTTTACTACTTTATCTGCAGTCATGTCCTTCAAAGGTGTCACCCCGGGCCAGCGGCTAAACCTGTCAGACATGGTTAATGTATATCTGTACCTCTTACATTCTGAAGGTATGTTCAAGTGAACATGGTCAAATTGGTAATCTCTTTCAGATAATTTTTTTCCCTTGTTTTATTGTGCTTATTGACTTTAGATTGCTGGCAGCCTTGCCAGTATCGAACCCATATATATATATCCTAACGCATTAATGGCCACATATATCTCGATGCGAAGCCTCAGCCTTTTCATTTCTAATATGCTTCTGGCTGTTTGGTTCACTACGAAAAATTTAGGATCGTCATCACAAGTATTTGGCTCTGACCGATTAGTAACAAAAGTTTGGCGATCAAGATATTTAACTTAGTTATTCTGCCAATAATTTCTTTTTATTTCTTCTTTAGTAGCGGTAGTCGCGACCTGTTGTTTTTTTAATAGTAAATGGTTAAAATGACTACGGTGGAGGTTGCTGGAAATGACCGATGGTTGCAGCCATCACGAACTGAAGAGTTGACATATTGTCTATGATTTTATCAATTAATTAGAATGTTTGGAACACACTATTGGCAAATATTATCAAGATGTATCTGATGTTGTTAGACAAGTATTATAACCAATGAGAATAAATTATCCGAGATGTTGGCATTCGCTAGATTGCGCATGTTGCGAAACAATCGTGAAGACCGTTGGTTCGAAAGCTCCAAGTTCGTCAATAATTTAACAAGTTTCTTAGATTCATCAAAACGTTAGATCATTTCTTCCTTTAATGAAGTGTACTTCTCTGAGAATGAATAGTTAAACTCGTCAAAAATTGGGTAGATGAATTAATATCTGGTAGAAGATCGGTTATCTACTTTTTTTGTATAATTGTCGATTAGACTTATTTGGTTATTACCTAAAGTATAGTTGATCGATACTTCTTTTTAAAAGAAACAACTTATTTGGTGTATGTTAAGTCTTATATCCATCTAATAACCGATGTCGCTTCTGTTTATATTTGAGTTTAAACATAGCTACCAAGGATTTGGCCAAGAAACAATTAATGCATGGAAAAATTTTTTGTATATAAATTTTGCTTTTGGTATAAACATTTAATTACTGTATTGTTAAGCCGTAGGCTTATTCAAATATGTATCATCGGAATGTTGTTTATAATACTAAAAATATGCCATTGTTGAATTGTTGTTGAAATGCCTAAACTGCAATTTTATGAATTCGTGTTTAGTTTGATATCTGTCATATGCAAAAAAGTTTAAATTTGCCGGAGCTACGTAAACACTGACATCCACTTTAACTCCATTAAACGATAAACAATCAGATTGTATATACAAAATTATATTTCATTTGGCGACGAAAAGACCACTCAATCGATTGAGTAACGTAAACAAATGCTTCACTTCATGTGGGGTATAAATACAACTTAAGCACATATTTATATATATTTATTGTGAAAAAAAAAATTTATATATATTGACTGTGATCGATCTCAAGAACGATTGGTTATCCCGTATTGAGCTAACAGCTTGTAGCCGGTAATCACTTCGATTTACTGCAGAATGCAAAGTGACGTGTTTTAGTGATGCCCTCCTGATTAAGTATAATAATGAACGCAATTTTAAAAAAATATTATGTACATAGGCAAATCAGAGCTGTAGATGGATCCCCAATCAAATTTGTAAATAAGCTATTAAATTTATAACTTTAGTTTTTCTTTAAAATTTGAGATATATATAAATACTAGTATATAAAAGTTAATTATTGTTTCTTTATTAATTCCAAATATACACAGTCTTTACTACGTTAACAAATTACGACAAATAGCTCTCTTAGAGAGGTTACTTAATGCCTAACTCGCCCAAAACTGAGGAGTAAACAAACGCTACTTCGTAAATAAAACAAATTCGTTTTCAATACGAACAGCTCGCCGAATTCTGACTTACTTAATCCACTATATTAAAACCTAAAATTTCGACTATTCTCTATATCTATAAATAAAACTTTATTGTAGACTAAATTTTACATAACCAAAAAGTCATACGCCAACTTTTTTGATTCCATAAGATCCAGTCAATTTTTCTAACTATATGTCCAACACGTCAAACTAAGCTTGCAACGGAAAGTAATGTGTAATACGATAATAGCACATCAACATCAAGAAACAATGAGTTACAAAAAAGTAGGTCCTAAAAATTGATACAAACCATTCATGTAGCTACCCGGAGTAGACTGTAGTTCAGATTCTTGGCAACTACCTAATGCTTTCTGACAAAAACGCAGACGCTGAGTTGTATATGATGACTCTTGATTCAATATCTTAGTTAAACATATTATAACCCAAACATTTATAAATATAACTTCTAGTTTGTAATTATATTTTTTGATTTCCTTATATTTAAAATAATTGCTTATATTGTAAGTTATTTTTTATTACTCAAATAATGCTTCTGAAGTAAGATTCACTGAGAAAGTCACTGTGAATTAATGCCTTTGAGAAGTTCGGAATCAAGAGTAGTAGATATCAAGATAAGTGACAATCTTGTACCTTAAGGGTAAACAATTTCTTAACATACAAAATTAGTACATAAAGTGATGTCTGGGCAGTCTGGATCTTTAGTATAGGCATGCTGTGATGTGGAGAGAAGATTTGGATTAATAGTATGCCTGATATGTATATCAATAACACTTTTCATACAATTACATGCAACTCCTGCTTTTGGAGCAAGGCTGGTTGAAAATGACAAACTCTTCTCACATTTCATTAAAATGTACTGTCTATACCGAACATTAACCATAATTTTGAACAATTATACTTCATGGTTAATTTAAATGCGCATTGGAGCAAAACCTAGATGGGTTTATCACTCATACAGGCAGATAACATATTATCTTTATTGAAAAAAAGTGATACTTCAAAGATCGAACAATAAATAAAGTAGTCATTTTCATAGAGATATGAATTTTGCAGAAAGTGAAGCCCAGGATATAGTCTATGCAAAAGAAACAAACATATGTATCTATGTATGTGTTAAAATAAATTTAGTTTTAATAAAAAATTATTTTTAAGAATATTTTGTTTTTAATAAAATTAAAATTAAGTAAATAGTACTTAATTCTTGATATATGTATATATTACAGCAAAACTAAAACTTAAAAACGATTTCTTAAACAAAACATTAGAGTAATTGCAAAAAAAAAACTGTGGAAATCTAAACAACCCTCTCTAATAATAAAGTATTTCTGTAAGAAACTGCGAAAAATTAATATTGGCTACATATTTAGCGGTTGTGTGACACAAAACAGTGAAATGCATACTGACAGAAACAATTGGTAAATAAGACCAGGTGAAGAGATCTGATGTGATTAAAGATTATTATGCCATTGTGCCAGATACGATTATGAACTAATATGCCAATTGTTCTGAAGACAGCATGCGCTGCGGCATATGCTGTAGCTTTAATAAACAAATTCGTGCATGTGCGCAAATATGTAACCCTAAAATGTATGTTCCCAGACAATGTATGCGCAGAAAAACCATAGCCGAGTTTGAAGTGTGTTCAATATGATTCACTTTTAGGGGAAAGTTGTGCAGCAAAGAATTGTCGTACGAGTTTATTAACTATAGTAACCATCTGCGTTTATGGTAGAGTCAATATGTCATTTGTGGCGTAAAGAAATACTGGACGATCTAGACGTTTGACTTTACATCTATTTTATTCTTTAGATGTAGAGTACAAAGCTTTCTTCTATGTACTTAAAAATGCTTAAACTTCCATTCAGAATGAGAATACGTAAATCAATATATACTAAAATGTACTGTTTAACATAATATAATAAAAGGAACTGTTAGTTGAAAACTAAGTACTGTTATATAATAAAATGAACTATAGTCAATTTTTATTTTTTCATTTGAATTTTATTTGAAGAATAAAATAAATGTTACAAATGTTGAATTCCTTAAGAGCTGCATTACAGCACATAAAATGCATGGCATAAATTTTATTTTCTTATCTTTAAACGCTACTATGTCTTATATCACCATTTAAAGAAATATGAACTCTTAGATATTCGCTTAGTGCAACAAACAGAATTCTTTATTTTAAGCATAAAAATATAATGTGAGCTCTTTTCCACATAAACTGATCTTAAAGACATAGTTTTGTTTATCATTTATAGCAAAGAAGACATAGCAAGAAGATCTTCTTTGATTTATAGTATTACATTTATACATGATACTGGGCTTGTGCAAAGGAATACAGTGCGTATAAAAATTTTGTATATTGTACATGTTATAAGCACATGTAATTGAGGACATTATTAGTTCATTCAAAATTTGTAACTTTCTATTTAAAAATTAAATTAAATCTAAGCAATTTAAAATTAATAGTAAATAACGCTGGTTAGTAATTTAGATATATTACTTTTTATTTACGTATAAAAGTCTCAACTTAAGAGCAAGCAAGATGGATGCAACTTTAATACACAATATGTGTAAACTCTACAGAAATGAATTGACTTTACAATTGCTAATAACACAACAACAACAACAACGAACCAATCAACATATTACGGATGAAATGCAGAATACTTCAAAAGTAATATTCCCTTTGATTATGGTATCTAATTATTACTTTACTATTATTATTGTAAATAAAACTGTAGACTTCGTCTGATTATTTGTAGCGTTACAAATAAAATAATTAGTAACGTTTAGAAACTATCTCAATATAATGACGATCTCATTTCAAAAGAAATTATTTGTAGTTAAGCTTTTAACCTTAGTATTGAGTCTTAAGTTAAAAGTTTAAACTCATAGGTCAAGTCAAATAACAATGAACAATTTGATTTACACATAGATAATTAGTAACACAAATAATTTATTATATTTTAATTTTAAAACAAAATAAAAAAATGCTTGCTTTAAAAAAATTTCTTAATTAGAATTTAAATGCACTTATCGTTAACATCATAAATTTATTTTTATTAAATTTGATACATAACACTACATTTTATACAAAACATGAACAATACTTAATAATTTGATTAAAATATTAATATCTTTAATTAAAAATTCTAACATATGTTATTATTCAAAATCTAAGAAAACAAAATGAAACCGTGTGCTAACTAAAATATTTAAAATATCTTAAGACTGAGTACTTTTTTAATTTTTTATTTTTTGTGATTTAAGAGAAAAACGTTCATACTCTTTGAAACATTTACACTCTCTTGCTCTCTCTCATTCGTAGATGTCGTTTGTCTACAATGTTCAGTATTTGAATGTTTTGTAGAAATTCTCTTATAATTCCATGCAAAAATCAACCAATAGGCGACAACAGTTGCTAGTATAAAAGGAAAATCTCTGAGATACATTGGTTATTTGGAATTTGTTAGTTGAGTTGTGACGTCGGTGGGCCGTCTTTGTCAACGCTCAAATTAATTATTTTGTGTGAAAATTCTCTGTGATTTGTGAGATGCAAAATGCAATGCAACTATAGTTAATTATATTGGGTTACGGTTTTTTGTGTGTATTACTAATTAAAATTAACTGTTGTTAAAAAATATATGTTAAATAAAAAGTTGTAATTGTAAATTGTTTTTTATTCAATTCAACTGTAAAATTGGATGTGTAATTAAACATACAAGCGTTTTTATCTAACAAAAGCAAAACAATAGAATTAAAAGAATTGTACTAAAAAAACAAACAAAAATCTTACATATAACCTCGCAAAGGGTACAAACCCTAAATAACCGCCAAAATTCTATTCAAAGAACGAAAAATCATAATTAAAAAAATGAAATCATTTGCTGCAGTTTGTCAAACAGGTGCCACAATGCCAGCTATTAATCCAAGTGGGCGTATCGCACGTCCATCGCATCAGAGGGGCGATGGAGAGAACGCCGAAATGAAAATGTATCTCTCAAAATTGAAAGATCTGGTGCCATTTATGCCAAAAAATCGGAAACTTTCTAAGCTTGAAATAATACAACATGTAATTGATTATATATGTGAATTGCAATCAGAACTTGAAGCCCATTCCGATATAAGCACCTTCGACACATCAAATTTTAATAATGTAAACCAAATGCAGAGTAACGGAATCTATGATGAAGAAATTCTTACGGAACGCTTATCACCAATCGTTGAACCGTCATTACATAACCAGCAGCAACATTCTAGTCCTACCCCTCGACAACCGTTAGTTGATCGGCATACTCCAAACACCATTTTACCAGTTACAAATAATATTCAGTCTTCAACGCTAATCACTCAACAGCAGCTCCAACTCCAGCAGCAGCAGCAGCAGCAAGTTTCTTTGCAACACCAACAAGCCACAACTTCCCGGTCATCACCGACAGTGAGTTTATCTATACACATTAATTTAAACAAAATTTTTTAGATATGTTACTTTAGTTTATATTGTTACCCTCATATCATAACAATACCATGTTTCATCAAAATTTTTGAAATTGATCCCCGGTTCATAATGTTTTTTGTTTTTGTTAAATAAAATTAAATATAAATGTTCAAGCTTAACCCACATTAAGCAGTTGTTGCAAATTATAACCTAAAAATATGTGAGTGCAGTTACAAAATACGTATTTACGTACTTCGTTTGTATTTACGTGAGTTAATGATTTCATTGGATTTTAAATTAAAATTTCACATCCAACCGAACAAATGCTATGTAAATATACATACCCGCCATTCATACATACATACATATATACATACTCACATTTATGAAATTTGCGTATTTGTATTTTCTGAACGTGCACACATAATGACTTCTCTGTGTTTTGTTGTTTGTTGCTGTTTGTTGTTGTTTTTTTACGGTTTTTTTTCATCAGCCTTTTTTTCTGTTTACGTGTTAATGTAAGAGTAAGCGAATATATACTAAATTTAAGTATCTGCAGGTGTTCATTTAACACATCCCAACAACAAATGTGAATATTGCAAAAGACGGCGATAAAAACTTAACAAAATCTGCAACGCGCTAAAGATTTCAGATTTCACCTCAAAACTGACTAGTTTTTGAATTGAATTCACAATTTAATACAGTAATGAAACGTTCTTCACACTTCCTTACACATCAAACCTGTAATGAGCTATAAACTATACTTACTATACTTACTTAGTTATAATTATAAACGGTGAAGTAAATCACAATTTAAGATACTTCTACAATACATTGATAATTTCATTAGTATCTGGCTTCCCAGATTAAATTCTATTGCTTTGTTGTTGTCGACAAAGTTTGTTGTTTGTTAATATTTGTTGTTATTTAATTTTGATAACATAAAATAATAATAATAATGTACATACATACATACATATGTTATATATTGTATAAAAATTGTAAGATGCTAGTTAGTTCGGATGATGATTATAAAGCGCTACTAAATAAATAAATAATTGTTTCTACAAAAAAATTTGTTTAATTGAATAAAGTACGAATTCCTTTAAAATTCAACATTTCCTTCAGCATTTTCTTATTTATCATTTAAAGTTTTAAATGAGTTTGTTATGGAGCATAATATGACGGGGTAGTGTACTGAACTCTCTTCAGCTATAAATATGAGTACTATTTTTCTTTGTTAATTATTCTTTGCTTATTATGTCTTTTCAAAAAATATATAAATTGTTTCTTTGTTGATATGCTGCTCCCTTTAATTACCACTATTTAATTTTACTACGTAGGCCTTAGACTCCGTCCAATGTTAAAATTTTCTGATAATAGTCATGGATAAATAAAATGTTCACATGCGGATGTATATGTATGTATGTATGTGCTTGCTGAAAATATGGCTGCACTATGACTGTGACATTGCTATTGCTTTTATAAATAATATTTCATTTATATATAAAAATTATTCAATAACTTTTTGAGAAGCCATTTTATATAAGAGCATTAGCGTAAACGTGATATTTTTTCGAAATTTGATATGCATACTTATGTATGTATATTTGAAACCACACTAAATTTTAGTAAAGTTTTTAATAAATTTTTAATAAAGTTCTCCAATATCAATTGTTTATTTTAATTTATTTATTGCGTATACAATATTAATGTTAGATACGCAGAATGCCCATTTTTAAGATTGCATCAGTACTGAGTGACATCAAGCATAAATGATTTGTGATGTCATGGCTTTTTGTATTGCAAATGCTGACAGGTTTCTCAATGTAAATATATCTAAACTAATATTAATTACTAATCGCTAAATTCTCTTCTTAACTATCACATTTCTGTAATAGGAGTAAAAAATATTTAAAAAACATTGACAGAATCTATAGGTGATATAGATTCTGTGAAATGCAGAGTGAAATATGTACCTATCTTGTTTTAATTCTGTAAGAAATACTGTAACAGTCACGGTTTTCATTGAAACTAAAAAGGGCTGAAGACTTAAACCAAAGATTATTGTTAATTTTATCAGTAGTATTATATTTCATAGCTTAACTTTCTTAAGGGATAGCACAACAAATCTTAAAGATCGCTATTTGCGTCTTCAAGTAATAATATTGATGTTAGACATACTAAATTAAATGATGAAAATATTACCTTTAATTTATTTATATAAACTTTCAACTCTCTATTTTCAAGTCTTTAATGAATTTATATTAAATAAAATTTTTATTTTAGCATTCATCGTTGGAGAAAGACAGTAGGCAATCTTGTTAGAGAGTCGCAGCTAAGCCCTCAGTGCAAGAAACCGACTACAATTATCTGATAATAGATACTACAGAAGACGTGAATATTAACATGTTATCTCATGCACCATACAGATTTATATTTACTGTATATAATACCTATATGTATATATATACATATATGCTTATATATATAAGTGAAAACCGCATTTCATTAATAAACAAATCAGCGTAATTATTGTATTTAATTTAGTATTTAAAATTATAAATTAAGTTACAGACTAAAAGTAAAACTTAAAGAAAAAGAAGAATTAGTATCTGAATGGATTTTTAGCAATTGTAAATTCGATACAATGATATTGATAATTAATTTTAGATAATAAAATATAATGTTTAATAATTAATGCATATTCATGTAACTACAATTGCACGACTCAAAGCATTTCTTTTGCTTATGCAAGCAAATTAAAACTCATTTAACAAAGCTTTAAAATATTTTTGTAGAAATCGTTTTTAAGTATTTTTAGGCTTTGGTAGGCTTCTTTGGTGGAGAGGCAAACTCAAACTCTTTGATTCCTTTAGATTTTATTTAACAAACATATTAAATGTAAACTTTAAGAATTTTCAACAAAATATAACAGATTTCCTATTACTTTTAAACATTGCTTACCAAAATTTCAGTTATTTTATTTATTTAATGATGTAATTTAAATAATTTTGGATCCTATATTTTATATTTTATATTATACTATAATTATGTTACTCATAGTCGACTTCCAATAATTTCTGTTAGATAAAAAATAAGATTGTATTACATATGTAGTGCAACAGCTCGATGTCCGTAATATATTTTTATGTTTTATTTACTAATAGAAAAATTGTTTAATTTAATGTTCTGTGATCTGTAGCATACTTGTACAAAACTGTATAGATTATTTTAATTTTAGCAATAAACGATAATATCATAATATATTAAAAAACATTATTACTACATATGAGATATTGTAGAAGAAATAAAATAATATTTAATTAAATAACACTTAGTTGTAATTTAATAAAATATGTTCAAAATAAATGAATTTAAATTGATTTTCAATTGGATGTAAGTTTTCTTATATATTGAATGTGAGTATAGTTACCGTATTAATATATAATATTAATATTAAAACAACGATGCCTATGTGCAATGAAATCATTGCAATGATTTGGTTCTGTCAAATAATTGTTTATATTAAATCTCACTGAATGAACACCATTGTGGTGTATATCTCTCATGGGTGGACATTTTTTCTAAAACCATATTTTGTTTATATTTATTTCGTATTATATATTGAATTTAACTCGGCCGCACACTCCTTAATGAGTGTTCGTTTCATTATATATTCGTATATATAAACATATATCTCATATATATGCATATATATATATATAATGCATATATATATACATATATATATACATATAATGCATATATATATACATATATATATATATATATGCATATAATGCATATATATCCATAGGTCACAAATGTGATTTAACTTCCCGCATAATCATTTGGATTTATTTGGTAGTAATAGAGCCTATCCTTCAATAGAACTGTCTAGTCAACCATCCCGTCTTATTTAATATGGTTAATCAAAAACTTTTAGAAAGATTACCGTAACTGGTGCCTTTCACACGATTTCACCCAAGACGTTATATATTTTTCTCTATTGGCTATCAACTGAATTCAGCGTTCGACAGCAGACACGAAATCAAGGTATCATGTGCTATACCATCTACAGTTGGTCCAAAGTATACAGAAAACATTATCGACTAAAAAATTTTATGCATATTTACAATATATAAGTATACGGATATTTCATTTATATGTTCATGTTTGTGGGTATATACAGTATTTACAGATAGATAGAGAAGTGCTTCCTTTGTTCTTAATTTTTCTTCCGAGTGACACTAACGGGTTGCCTGCTATGTGATCACGATACATACATGTGATCTGAGGTCGCTATATACCTTCTTGTGTATATATTCGTTTATTAATTTCCATAAATATAAATACTTGATTGAAACTTTCAAAAAGGGTTAAAGCAAAGGTATTAAATCCAAATTCAAACTTGCTTTCAAGTTTTTTTATCTCAATTTTTGCAATAGATACATATAACTTCATCTACGTTTTAATTTAATCCAATGTTTCGTGCAACTGCGGTTCTCTTCGCCGCGTTTCTATACATAGCACTCAGTATCACCCAGTTCAACCTATTTGCTTTTGATATAATATATGCGTTAAAATATTCGTTAATTGTAAACTCAATGCAGTTGGCCTGTTAATATATTTGTTTTTGCCATAATTTTCCTTACTTATAGCAGAAAACGTATCTGCATTCCTTTTCAGATAATAGGTATGCACACACGTGCATCAAAGCAAATAAAAGAAAACTTTTCTATTGATGAAATGGAATTATTTTTACGCCGTCATGCATTAAATAACAACTTGCAGGTTGCATCGGGAAGCAGATACAATTTATACCTGGCTGACTGACTGGGAAAACCGTTTGTGTGATAATTTCACGTGGCTGCTTCGTATGCTATTCATGTCAACATTATGTCTCGCCTTTGTTGCCTTTACTATCTATACTATCTGCGTGTGAGAATTACAAAAGATTATTGGTAGCTATTTGTTGTTGCAGAAGCGAAACTATGAGTAAATATTACTGCTAATGCTGGGAATATTACATTTCGTTAATCGTTAAATATAAGTAAACTCTTATATTGTAATATATTTATCTAAGTTATTAATAAATATGTAATATGTTACTAATGGAAATCAATCTTTAATTAAAAATGTAACACATATATTATTGTAAATAAAGCAATTTTAAAATGAAAATTACATGTACAAATTCACTTACATATGGTACTTACTTTTTCATGCATAATTATTTTCACACGAATCAAAGCAAAACAAAGGCAAATTTTTATCTATTGAAACACCCAAAGACCGACCGACCGACCACTCACTACTTGCAGTTTTCAGTTTTCAGTAAAGAGGGTTGTGGTGTAGTTGAAACCTGCAGTAAACTTAGACAAATGTATCATTGCGTGGTTTTCATGTAGAGTAATGTAGTGCAAACACCTGCAATGCTGCACCTGTGCCTATCCAATTGCAACGCCAACTCCATGCATAGACGTCCAAGTGTTTGGTTATTAAATCCAAACGAAAAACTGGCAGCCAACAACCTTCTTTAAGTGCTCTAAATGGTTTGCAATGCGTAGTGAAAGTTAAGCAAGATCACAAATATGGATTTGTGTATCGTTATTTCAGTTGTAGACTTGAAGTACAAATAATTTTCTTTATTTAAAATCTATTTGTGATCATATAAATGGAAAGATATAATCTAATCTATTAAGGGTTTATGCTTATATACGAGAAGCGTTTAAAGACTTATATTTTATTCATTAATGTGTACAAATTGGGTAAAGTTGCGATTCACATGCACTATCATCTTTACATTAATGGATTGTGAGAGGTGAGAGAATGTCGACTCTGACTGGAATGCGATATTCTTTTTCTGAAATGGTCAAATCCTTTTGATCTGACCTAGGAAAAGAATTCTTGGCCGGAAAATCATGTCGCAGTCTGAAGATCTAGTTAGCGTCAGTTGTTGGCACATAAGATGTACTATGATCTCTTATTTTTAATTCTCTTTCATTTGATTTGAAATTGAATTCGGACAGTTCAAAAAAAATAAACCTACAATACATAAACATTATATATGTATATATAATATATAAAATAGGTTTAAGTAGTTATGGCTCATTTTTGCGTTATATACAAAAAATAATCAAAAATCAAAAATCAAAATACTCACGATGAGGCACACATTTTAATTCTTTATCTTGCCACTTTGAAATCTGTCATCTGCGTTTCAGTGGGTTCAGTGTCTCTTCCCATTAGTGCACGTGCAGCATATTTTTAGTTGTGCTGCTTGCAGTCTCCTCAAAGAAATTTCACAGTTTTTATTTTTAAAACCAGTTGTGATTTGTCGAAGCATATTTTGAACACTTGTGTGTTCATTTTACAATACATCGTTGGCATATTAAGATTTTGGTATGTATTCAAGGTACTGAATTCAACAGAAAACAGTTCGAAAAAAAATCAATTCTCGGAATTTTTCGACTCAATAATGTGCGTTTGAAAGATGAGAAATGCGTTAAGAGTCTTAAACTAAGCGAAACTATACAGTACACAAACCCACATACGAGTATATCGAACATTGTATATAAATATGTGTATGCAGATACAATTTTTCCAAACTGGTATACGGACACGTTTACTATAAGTATGTATACCCGTATACTCGTACAATATGATATAGAAAAAGTGAACAAGTGTATATCATATAGCTCGTTTTAATCTTTAAGAATTGTATTGCAGCCTTACTTTTAGTTTTAGCTTACAAGTTCTTTTTATCCGATATCATCTTTGCCATATTTTATTGTTGGTTAAAATGTGTCTTTATTCATTTTTTATTTATTAACTTTTCATTTAATTGCTTTTTTATAGAAGCTAACAGTTATTCATGAGCTTAGGTGGGGTAATTTGCATTTTACAATAAAAAGTGTGGTTGAAACAACATTATTTGATTAAACTTAAATTTATTAAATGTGTTAAATGTTATTATATATGGTATATTGAAAATATATAAATGTATATGTTAACATTGAAAAAGTTTTGAAGGAGGATTTCTCTTATTTACCACAATTTTACCGATATATATATGGTTTATATTTTATGTTATAATTTTTTCCATTTGCTTAAGGACGATAAAAATATTTTATATATTTTTTTTTATTGAGCAATAATATATTCATACATGTGTAATATAAAATATATAATACATTATACGCAATACACTATACATATTTAAAACAAAATATATCCATTGTCTATAAGGAAAGTAAACTATTGTTGATGGTTCTTTCACACATTTTGGTTAAAAAATCTGTACGCTACAGATATTAGGCTAATCCTACAATAGCTGCCGCAAATCGTCGAATCGTATACGACAGTATGCATACTTTCTTCTGACCATGTTTTGCAGATGAATTTAAGCATACACTCTATCAGTAAATCGTCACCGCTCTTGGACAGTTCTGCAAGCAGTCAAACGCCTGCCGCTTTTTGGTTCTTCACTTGCTTTATAG